GCGCCAAGGGAGTCCGGCGCTGGAGAAAGGTAAGTGCTGAAGACACACAGACACTCTCACTTACAGACGCATACACACTAGCTAACAGAGACACACTCAGTGACAGACATACATACACACTCACACACAAAACATACACTCTCATTGACAAACACACACTAACAGACATCAAACAGACTCACTAAGACACACACACTAACACTCACTCTAACACTAACACTCACTCTCACACTTACTCTAACACTCACTCTAACACTCACACTAACACTCACACACACTCAAACACTCACACACACTCAAACACTAACACTCACTCAAACACTCACACATGTTTTTTTTAATATAATCCCCCCAGCCTCCTTACCTTTTGGAGTGCTGGGGGGATTCCTTGGGGTCCAGTGGTGCTGCTGACCCCAGCGGGCGGATGGCCGGTCGGGCAGGCAGACGGGCGCGCGAGGGAGCTGAAGAGGAAGCACTGAGTGCTCCCTCGCGCACCCGCCTGCCCGACCGGCCGGCCGGCCACCCGCCCGCTGGGGTCAGCAGGGCCAGCCTCGGAGGGCCCTGGGGTGGTCGGCTCCTGGGCCCCCCAGGGGAAGAGGCTGGCCCTGTGGCTACATACCGGGTCCCAGGGGCTGCCGGACCCCCTGGTGGGCTGGGCCCGGTCGCAGCCGCGACCCCTGCGACCCTGGTATGTACGCCACTGCATAAGGAATCATGCAGAATGATCGGGATGGTTTTTCATAAAATCTGATTTTCTTTTTTCTTTTTTTTTCCTTATTTTATTGTCTCCTTAATAAATAAATTAACAAGAGTGACCTTAAACCTCTTGGATAGTTTTCTTTGCCTCATTTTGTGTCAGACTTTGCTGTCATCAAGGTATTCCTGATGCCAACTTATTGATTTTTGATGACAATTCTGATGCAAGGACAAATCAACAAATGGTGATTGTAAGAATATTATTTTGTATAAAAATATTTAAAGGAACACTATAGACTGAAATTTAGCATTTGTTTTTAATACATATGACCTATGAATATTAACAAGAGGAGCCACAAGTCCGCTGACCAAACACACACATACACACACACACACACACACATACACACACACACACACATACACACACACATACACACACACACACACACACACATACACACACACACACATACACACACAACAAACACACACATACACACACACACTCCTCTCCTCCCCCCTCCCATTCCGCTGAACGGGCTTTTCAGCATGCAACTGCAAATGGAATGCTGGCTAAAGTGATCTATCCCTCCCTGCGCATCCACTGTTGTCATCCCCATCAGGACTAAGGTATGATGGGTCTTAGAATAGGGGCGTGGCTAAGGCGGGATGTGTGTGAGAATGAGGCGGGGCTAAGGTAGGATCTGTTAGAATGGGGGTGGGGCTAAGGTAGGATCTGTTAGAATGGGGGCGGGGCTAAGACCAGATGTGTGTTAGAATAGGGGCCTGGCTAGGGCAAGATTATGTTAGAATGGGGCAGGGCTAAGACAGTATGTGTGTTAGAATGGGAGGGGCTAAGACTAGATGTGTTTTAGAATGGGGCAGGGCCAAGGCAGAATTTGTGTTAGAATGGGAGGGGCTAAGACTCGATGTGTGTTAGAATAGGGGAGTGGCTAGGGCAGGATGTGTATTAGAATGGGGTGTGGCAAAGGCAGGATGTGTTTTTCAATTAGTTGTGTGGCTGAGGTAGAATGCATGTTAGAATGGGGCGGGGCTAAGGTAGAATGCATGTTAGAATAGGGCGGGGCTAAGGTAGAATGCATGTTAGAATGGGGCGGGGCTAAGTCAGGATGTGTGTTAGAATGTGGTGGGGCCAGGGCAGAATGTGTGTTAGAATGTGGTCGGGCCAAGGCAGAATGTGTGTTAGAATGGGGCGGGGCTAAGGTTGGATGTGTTTTAGAATGGGGTGGGGCTAAGGTAGAATGTATGTTTGAATGGGGTGGGGATAAAGTAGGATGTGTGTTAGAATGGGGTGAGGCTAAGGTAGAATGCATGTTAGAATGGGGTGGGGCTAAGGCAGGATGTGCGTTAGAATGGGGCGGGGCTAAGGTAGAATGCATGTTAGAATGGGGTGGGGCTAAGGTAGAATGCATGTTAGAATGGGGTGGGGCTAAGGCTGGATGTGTGTTAGAATAGGGGTGTGGTTAAGGAGGCAGGCATATAGAAAAGCAAATATATTCCTATTTAAGCAGATATAAATACAGCATTTTAATAAGGCCTAAATCTTATCAAATAACTTTAGGCGGCTGCCTAAGGCCTCACGCTGTCTGGGGCCTCACGGCCGCCTAAACAACCTTAGGGCAGAATGTCATTCAGTCTCGACACCAGGAGGAGGCTCGGCGGCTTGCTGGATATGCCGCAGGGTGCGAGGCCCCTCTGTGCCGTCTGCTCGGGAGGAGAGCACCCATCGCAGACTCCGTTCTGCAACTGCGCAGTGTGCAGAGCTACAGATCATCTGTCTCACGAATTCTGAACAATAAGAGTGTTGGCGTGGGTTACTACGGTAATGCTATGACTGGATTTTGCAAAATACATGGTCTGTAGCTCTGCACACAGCGGACCTGCAGACCGGAGGCCATGGCCACAGGACCACCAGGGAGACCACCAGACCACCAGGGAACATAAAAATGTATTTATTCACAAACTCCCAGTATCCCCCACCCCAGCATTAACCCTCTCCCTCCCAGTATCCCCCACCTCAGCATTAACCCTTTCCCTCCCAGTATCCCCCCACCCCAGCATTAACCCTCTCCCTCCCAGTATTCCCCCCACATCATGAACCCTCTCCCACCCAATATTCTCCCAAGAGCATTAACCGTCTATCTCCCAGTATTCTCCCACATCATTAACCCTCTCCCTCCCAGTATTCCTCAAACAGTATTACCCCCCTCCCTCCCAGTATCCCCCTCACAGTATTACCCACTCCACACAGTCACCCCCTCGCTCACAGTATCCCCCCACAGAATTACCTCCTCCCTCATAGTATCACCCCTCTGTCTCACACAGTATCACCCCCTTCCCCACACAGTATCACCCCTCTGTCCCACACAGTATCATCCCCTTCTCACACAGTATCAACCTCCTTCTCTCACAGCATCACCGCCTCACACACACTGCCACCTTCCCTCACACATACTGTCATGCCCCCCACACACTGTCAGGGCTCTGCCCTGTCAAATTAACCCCCCCAATTCTTTCACACTCACCTTCTCTCACTCTGTCACACTCTCCCCCCAACCCTGCCACACTTATCCTGTCACATAAAATGCAACCCTACTTTTTTTTTTTTTTTTCACTTTTGGTGTTAGTGGGGCCTTATGTTTGAGTTTCGCCTAAGGCCTCATAAAGTCTAGAGCCGCCTCTGAATAAATCCTTAAAAACAACTTTTCAGATGACCACAGGGAAAATAGCCATCTGCACGTCAAACTTTTTACAGTGTCCTGGTGGAGCTGCTATAGCAAATAATTAAAAAAGACACCTTTTTGTCCAATTTGCAAAATGATAAATAACTGGTGGTCAGTATCCATGGTGGCAGACATGAATAACGTGCAGATATTAGAGGTATGGATGAATTATGAAAAGCTGTTGATATTTTTTAGTCATAAACATCCAATGGCTTTTCGGATTAAAGGGACACTCCACTTCCCAAGTACAAAATAAGTAAAAATCACTGTGTAGTAGATATACCCCAAATGAAAACTTGCATTAACTTAATTATACATTTTTACACTGGAATATATCTAAAAACAGCATAAAAACATGCAGTTCTCTTGTCTGCTTCCTTTGCAAGTCATTCCCTTATAACTTCGCCCAGACTTTCTGTCGCTGTCCAATCACAGACTTCCCCAATGCAGCTCAATGAGAAGTCTTTGCAAGGCAGGTGCTCTGGGTAATTCCTGCCTCTTGAGTTTAGTTCCACTGAGCTAAACAACCAGTAGGTACCAGGACCGGCTGTCTGTTTGAAGCCCAATGGGGTGCAACCAGGTTAATTTATAAAAGTGTAGATTTCTTTTGAAATCTGCAGTTTTTGCAAAATAAAAATAGGACACATTCTTCACACATACATCATGTCAGCAAGCTAAAGTGCTTTAGGGGTCTGGAGTATCCCATTACTATGCTTAATGACTGATTTTATTGACAATTGTGGAAACAAGCCTCTTGTTAGAACATTTACTTGAGTAGTTAGCTCTGGAATGCAAGATTCAGTTCACAAATTAAGCTAGTTCTGTTGGAACCAGAATTGCTGTAAAATACTATATTGAGCACAATTAACCAATTTCAATATGTATTCTTCTCTCAGTAGGCAAGTAGTAAATCCAATTAAAAAATACAGAAATATGCTAAGCAGTTTTATGTTTCGATGGCAACAATGTTTTTCAAGGTATCTGTGTTATCTCCCTGTGTCTACATGCTCCAGTTAAACTGTCTAGACAAAATATTATAAATGGTGCAAATTTTACATTATTAAGTAATTATTTGTATTGCAAGGCCGCTTCATTTCCTAGTCAATACCAGCTTTTTATACTCATATAGTCAATAAAAGGAATATTAAACTCACTTTACTGGGGAACTAATGTATACTTATGTACTTTGATAGTATTTAAATTATGTATCATGATTTGAGATAAGAGTTTAGGTGTAAAAAATAACAGTTTTATCAAAAGTATATTTAGTAATTATTTTGGTAACTTGTGTAGTTTTGTGTCTAAAATCCTGTTACTGAAAATACAATCATGATAAAAAAAATCTATTTTGTTTTATATTCTGTAAAAACTTTTTCCTTTTAGTTTTTATTATACTTTTTTTCAATAAAATGCACTTTTTCTCAATAGATATAGCATTTTGCAACCAGATCTCACTGGTAATTGTGACCCATAGAGGAAAAATGTAGATGCAGAATAGCCTATGTTGAATATAGGAATATGTAGAATATATGAAATAAAAAAGACTCTGGGAACCACTGCTTATACGCTAATTGGCACATTGCTTTATTTTGGAAAACAAACTGTAGGGAGGGCTAATTATTTTTGATAAGTTCATTCCATCACATTAAAGAGGAACAAGAATAAAAAAAAAAACATAAAAACAAAAAGAAAAATGAAAAACAAAAAAAGACGTTTTTGTTAAATTTTTTTTGTTTTTTTTTAAATTCACCGGATAGTTTTGAAACCCGTAGGTAAACGGAACATTGCACACAGTGGAACAGAGAGAGAGAGAGAAAAAGAGCGAAGAAAAAGAGCACGGGCGCTGGAATAAAACTCGAATACAGTGCAAGAGAATCTCCAAAATGAATTGGATTGGACCATACTGTAAAACTTGCCATTAACAACACCAAAAAACACTTAAAAATGTTTAAGCCACACTGTTTGACTGAAACTTTCCTGCCCTTTACATGTTCTGCCACACAGAGAGTAATAAGAGGGGAAGAGTGAGCCAGAGGAATCCACGTGAGGAGGACAGTCAAGAGAATTAGAGAAAGGAGAGCCGGGAGGTCGGAACGATGGACTTCAAGAGTAGAGCAATGGGAACGTTCAACATATTCAGGCATTTTCTTGGTCTTCCTTGGTTTCTTCACTCACACCCTCCTCTTGTTGGGCACTTTCACTAGGTTTGGTTTGTTCTGCTTCATCTAAAGGAAAAAAGAGAAGACAAAAAATAAAATTTAGATTCATCATAACAAGTAAAAAAAAAAATTTCATTTCGTATTATGTTTATCAAGAGCATCTAGCCCAGCAAGTAATGGTCCAGGTGTCATTGGAGTCCTGATTAAGATACATTTTACTAAGCTATAGTTTACGGACTAGTGATAATTTTGAGTGCCAAAAACCTAAAAACCTAAACCTTCCTTGAGTAGCTGGTAGATAACCATTTTACAGTTACATGACAAGTTAACAGAATTATCATAGCATTACTACTCAGATTGAATTAATGATGTGCCATTTGGTAACATAGGGGTTTACTTGTGTTAATGGCAGGCTAACTAAAGGAGAAAAGGAATTAAATGTGTATATAAGCAGGGGGGGAAAAATCTTATTCCATCATAATTGAATTATCTGAATATACACCAAAAAGATCAAAGGCAAAAATCATTGTGAAGGGAAGAACTATATCAGAGCACAACATTTTAGAATAAAAAAAACAAAACATATGAGAATAGATTTGATATCCTTAAGTCTATTAGTTCTTATACCAAATCTGAGGAACTACCATTTGTACACATTTTGGAAATTATCCGTTGTGCTTAAATAAAAATATTAATGGAACCTGGACCATTGACCAGTTTTGAGGACATGCTGGAAAAATGCTGCCTACTGAATGATACTGCAAAATCAGTCAAGACATTGTGTTGGTTTCCAAAAGACTCAACAGAGGGCATGATGCAACACTTGCCTACCCCTGTCAGACTCTCCTCTTGCCTTCAATCATGACACTCATCATTTCAGAAATGCCTATGGCCTCCCAGAGTAACTTCTATTTCACAAACCTGTCTCCTGCTCTCTCCTAAAGGGCCACACTCCCCTCTCACCTCCAGCTCTGCTACTTTCCCATCTTGTTGTTTGGTTGCTATCTCCTTTGATGCCCTTCCTACTGCATTATTATACTCCACCTCCTCTATTCTGTAAGATCGTTTGAGCACAGCCCTTATAAACCTATTGTTCCTACAACATTTTGCACTTGTTTAATCTCTTGTTAAATTTTCCCCTCTATAATTTTGTAAAGCATTTTGGACTATGGTGGCGATACATAAATATTAAAAATAATAATAATAACAATTCCCTGTATGGAATTGATACGTGACACAAATAAATTAGTTAAAATGAACTAACAATGTGTTGTCTGCTGACAGAATGTCAGTATTTTAAACTAAGGAGTCACAATTTGCTATAAATATTCACAAATATAACCCAAGTACAGGAGGGATGTATATTAAATAAGAGAACTGAAAGGGTAGCAGGCTGCAGCCTAAATCAAAGGGTTGAAATACCTGCTGTGACAATACATAATCATACTTTCTGGGAAAGTAATAAGAGGTAAATATAATAATGAAATGAATTCTATTCATTTACTGTAATTATTTACTGTATTAACCTCTATCTACAATAAATGAATGAATAGAATTATTTTCATATATATACATTTCCTTTACATATATTGAATAGTTATAGGCTATTTTGGTAGCGAGAGCAGTTAATATCACATTACAAGTAGAAGATTTTGCAAAAAGTCAAAAAATGTTGAAATATTATAGCCAAGCAGGTTTTATGGGATATTAAATGCAACATCACGATGGTTTGTATTGCAGGTTTATCATTTTAGAAATGTCCTCTTTTTCACATACGCTTGAGCCATTCAAAGAAACTGGATTCTTTTTCTCGTTTACACTACTTCCATTGGAAGATAATTAAGACTCAATGTGTCTTTTCTAGAATCACAGTTCTCATACTTTCATTCATTTGGGGTCAACCAGTGATATATGTTAAAGTGGCTTCAGATGTTACAGTTTGGAAAATATACCAACTTGATCATTCGTACATCGAATGGGGGTCTGCATCAACTCAGTTACAGTAGCTACTTAGCTCTTTCTAATATTGGATATGTAAGACCATAATCTGGGCAATTAGAATCATCAAGGTAGGCAAATGTAAATGGGCTCTCTATGGTGGGGCTGATTGGTATGCTAACTGTATTGCTTATTTCTGCATTGATTCAAATGAGATAAAAGTAATTTGAAATCTGTTGAATAGGATACACCCTACAGTAATCGCTTGAGGCTTTTGTCCATATTTGCATCTTTACTACTGTTTTCTTTTTGGCTATGAAGCAAATCTAAGAAGGTCAGGAATGGTAGTGACAATGGCACAATTGGTACACTCAGGTTATAGTAGAGACTGAGATCAAGTTATACAAGAGATGCATTGATGGTATATGAATTAAGGTCAAACTAGTTTATATTTTTATACTTTTCAGTACATTTGCAATTATCCAATTTGTTTTTATAAAATCATTTGTCAGTAAAATATTGAATATGGTTAACATATAAATTGAATATATTGCACATGCAACACTGTAATATAAATAAAAAGGGTCGAGTGCGTTGCTGATTGGTATGTGTACAATATATTTTGGAATTTCAGCAATAAAAACTCAAAATACCAACAGAATATAAATGCAACGACTGCTCGGAATGCCGCATACTGTAAAATGTTTGCCTGATTAAAATCAAGTATGGGGATATTATGCCTGAAAATGTGGCCGTTGTTTTAGCTCTCTCACTTCCAGCAACAAATTACATTCTGGTGATTTACAATGTTTTTTTAGACACGCATGCAGTGTTTATGGTGTTAATGGGAGACCTGCAGGATTATTGACTAGAGTGAGATTCCAAAGTTAATTCAAAGTTAAGATTAGAGTAGCAGAATGAAAAACATAGCTGAACTAGAATTTTTACAGTCTGTCTATTTTGATCTTGAAGTTGAAATTCACTTTGAATTCACCTTGAGGTTCAACAGGGGAGCGAGACAGACAGTATGCATTTATATGTGTATATATATCAATCAATGTCTGTCTGTCTATCTATATATTTATGTTGTTTGTTTGTTCTTTCAGCTCCCCTTTTGTTATTAGGTATTCGGACTAAGGGACGAAAATCTTTATTTTCCATTTGTATAAATCTGAATGCCCAAGTCTAGTTAACAGTAGATTTATGCACAGGGGAAAATGCGGTCAGACCAAATCAAATTGTACAAAAAAATAATAATGTGTTCAGGTGGTCCATTGTTTGTCTATGTGGGGGAAAGGCTCGTCCAAATATTGTCCATGCAAAATATGTTGGAAAAGTCAGACAAACCAAAAAAGGCATGAAAATGGGCCAATCGGTGTGCTGCAAAATAGTTCCATTATTTGTTTATTTTTTTATTCATTTAAAAAAAAAAAAAATTAGCATCATGAAACAAATAAACATGGTCAATTGTCTAGTTTGTTTGTTTGTGATACGTCCATATAGGTTTTTGGAGTTATGGAAATTGTCCTGACCCGCCGATCATCCAAAATTTAAAAGAAAATCACAGCCAAATAATTGTCCATTCTGTCCGTGCCTTTCAAGTCTGCAGATAGAGTATTAAGTCAACTTGGAGATGTGGTTCACATTGAATCAAATTTTTGTCTAATTCCGTGCATTTCAAAATCTCTGAATTCCAAAACAAATGTACCCGAAATTCTCAATAAATCGAATACAGCAATATATGAGCCGGTTCGTTTAATTTGGAATAAATTTTGTAGTTGTTACCGCTAGTGGCCCCTGCCACAAAACAACAACTTTGAATTACTAATTTACAGTTTGATAGGTTTTTTTTTATTTATTTTTTTGTTAAATGGACTCTATAGATGCTTTCCTTCTTCAATTTAGGGAACCCTTAGGGCTTCCCCAGCAATATATGCTTTGATTTTGAATTTTCTTCCAGAACGAAACCAATTTTCGGACCAAACCTAATTTTTTTTCAAACTAAATTCTTCAGAGCAGAAAAATCAATTTTTAAGAACAAAAAATCTTCCTAGTGTAGAAGTTTAGTATTTAGTGTACAATGTGCGCGTGTTGGAAGAGCACTTCCCACTTTATTCAGCACCTCCAAGCATCATCATTTATTTGTGGAAGGGCTACTTGAGGCTGAACTACATATCCCATAAGCCTATTATTTCTGTAGCTCGCTCAAAGAAGGATAGCAGTTTCAAGAACATAATTTTTTTTTGTGAATAATTTTCATGCATTATATATATAAAATGGAAGGCCTGGGGCATCCCTATAAACATATTAGGTGAAGCACTGCTTGTTAATGTTAAACCACTCCATCTAAAATGTGTCTGCACGGCTAATTATCTATACATGAGTAGAGCAAAATAATGCTACAGCGTTCAATAAAATGAGTCCTTGTTTAATCACTGTGTTCTACCTATCTCATATAATGTCTATACCTTGTAAAGTTCTAAACGCCATGAGATCCATGGCACAGTGGATAACTCTATGAGGAAGAGTTATCAAAGTGTTCGGTACTAAAAAGTGGTCGAAAGAACTAAAAGTGGGACAATCACCATGGAAACCAGTGAAAAAGCAAGTACCTTTTATTGGTGACTGCTTCTCTTTTTCATGAAGAAAACACTTTGATAAATTCCCTCCCCTTTATTCACAATAGACTCTAAATAACCTCTAATATGCATTACAACTAAGTTGACGTCACTACCAAGCACTTTTAGAAACAAATATTAGTATTACATCTATTTGTAAAAAGGGGATACAGAGCTAGCACTACATTTTGGTACAGCGGAACATTTCAGTTCTACCAAATACATTCAGACGAAAAATAATTTTGTTTCAGCCAAACCTAATTTAAGTCGATATTTTGTTTGGTTCAACCGAAATCCAGTTAATATTTTCAGTTCCATCTTTCCATGCTAAATCTTTCAGTGGTTTAGAAAATAGATACATTTTTAATTTGGTAGCATTATGTAGGATTGCCATGGAAGGGGGGAAGCTGTGTTTAGTAGAATATTGGATTCCAATATTGTTGAATGGGTAAGGAAGTGGCTAAATGACAGGCGACAGAGGGTTGTAGTCAATGGAGTATATTTAAAGCATGGTCTTGTCACCAGTGGGCTACCTCAGGGATCTGTACTTGGACCCATTCTCTTTAATATTTTTATTAGTGATATTGCAGAAGGTCTTGATGGTAAGGTATGTCTTTTTGCTGATGATACTAAGATATGTAACAGGGTTGATGTTCCAGGAGGGATAAGCCAAATGGAAAATTATTTAGAGAAATTTGAAAAATGGTCAGAGCTGTAGCAACTGACATTTAATGTGGATAAGTCCAAGATAATGCATCTTGGATGTAAAAACCCAATGGCAGAGTACAGAATATTTGATAGAGTCCTAACCTCAAAATATGAGGAAAGGGATTTAGGTGTGATTATTTCTGATGACTTAAAGGTAGGCAGACAATGTAATAGAGCAGCAGGAAATGCTAGCAGAATGCTTGGTTGTATAGGGAGAGGTATTAGCAGTAGAAAGAGGGAAGTGCTCATGTCATTGTACAGAACACTGGTGAGACCTCACTTGGAGTATTGTACACAGTACTGGAGACCGTATCTTCAGAAGGATATTGATACCTTAGAGAAGGTTCAGAGAAGGGCTACTAAACTGGTTCATGGATTGCGGGATAAAACTTACCAGGAAAGGTTAAAGGATCTTAACATGTATAACTTGGAGGAAAGACGAGACAGGGGGGATATGATAGAAACATTTAAATATATAAAGGGAATCAACACAGTAAAGGAAGAGACTATATTTAAAAGAAGAAAAACTACCACAACAAGAGGACATAGTCTTAAATTAGAGGGACAAAGGTTTAAGAATAATATCAGGAAGTATTACTTTACTGAGAGGGTAGTGGATGCATGGAATAGCCTTCCAGCTGAAGTGGTAGAGGTTAACACAGTAAAGGAGTTTAAGCATGCGTGGGATAGGCATAAGGCTATCCTAACTATAAGATAAGGCCAGGGACTAATGAAAGTATTTAGAAAATTGGGCAGACTAGATGGGCCGAATGGTTCTTATCTGCCATCACATTCTATGTTTCTATGTCTCCATATTTTGGAATCCTTAAATAAGGCAAACCCACATAAGGATACCAAATTAGTTAACTATATATAATTACCTATTAATCAGCTGAAAGACCAACATCTAGAAACCCTTTTTCAGTAATTTCCCCAACATTATTTGTTTCAATTCAACAATTTTTTACCGAAATTCTTCTGAATCCAAACATTTTGGAAAAGCAAATTGATTCAGAAGAACTGAAAAATTGTACTGGGCACAAGTCTAGTAGAAATTAAAACGATGTAAATGTACACAATTTTCATTTTTTATTTATTTGTTACTTCATATACATTTTTGGAGAATGAAAAGCTTTAGACATTGTATAAGTATGTATATGTCAATATATATAATCTTTCAATATTTCACACATGGTCAAACACCTTGCTTTTAGGTATTTGTAAGGGCCCCAAAAACATTGCTAGCAAAGTTTCCTGAAAATGCAAACATGACGTCTGCATTTGAGCATAATGCCTATGTAAGTGCAGCTAAATCAAGTAGTTCACAAATAAAGGAATTTAAATAAGTGCTATAGCAATTTTTTGTCAATCTCTAGTGTGATAATGTAGAATCCATTCACTCTTCTTCCCTGCCTGACTGTAGGAATGATAGGACCCACTGAAATGAACTGTTTGGAAGTAGAGGGTGGGCTGACATTCTCAGTAAAATTACAGTTATCAAATCAGTGACTAGTGGCTTCTGGCACAGACATTCATTTCTCTACATGCTGGTAATCATAGCGTATAAATGAGATTGAATTAGGCTTTAAAGGCTACATTTTGTTTTCTGGTAAGTACATTAAAGTAAAAATGTTTATATCTGAACCTGGAAGTGAAGGGGTTTGTAGCCTCTTTATATACCATAAAAAAAAATTCACATTCTGATTATGAGTAGCTAAACTCAAACAGATTTAAACACATTAGACCATACATGGAATGGGCCCAAATATAACTGTTTCTATTCCCCCACTTCCATTAAAATATTAAAGTGTGCAAGTGTAATTAAATTTGAAAAGAACTGCTATAATATTCATTGCTAATGCGAAAATTATTTTAAAGAGTGTGATTGAAAGTAGAAGTCTAATTATCACCTTATCAATTCCTTCATCAGCCATCACTGCTGCTGAAAACAGGGTTAATTTCTAAATAATATCATCAGACAGAAAAACCCAGGAGAGAGAAGAATACGCAGAAAATAAGGCAGTGAGGATGATGCTCGGCACAGCATCTTTTCTGAACTAGGTTTCCTGTGAGACTCAGCTCACCCTTTTAAAGGAGTCCTTTAAAATAAATAATTAAATAAAATTAACACTTGAATAGAAATACCTCGAAAGAAAATGTGTATTTATTTTTTCAGTTTTCTTTGTAGGTATATTAAATCCTGGCTTGCAATAGCTTCCGATATAGTATCTGCAGGTACTGGAAGCCCTCCCTTTCCTCCCCCACTAAGACATCCTGTTGCTGTCCAATCACAGGCTTCCTGATGTAGTTTAATAATGCAAGTGCTCTGAGCAATTGCCCGTCTCTTAAGTTTAGCTCATCGAGGTAAACTACACAGAAGTAACAGGACTGGTTTACAAGGTAATTTTATAAAAGTGCCAATTTCTATTAAAATCTACTGCAGTATTCCTATACATCATTGAATATAGAATTCAGAAAGGGAATGGATAGTGTTTGGATGCTGTGTTTGTTTGGTCTCAAACTGGGCTTTTTGACAATTCCCTAAAGGCAAAATGACATAGATTGTGGAGACCTAATTACCCTTGTTTAATAATATTTTTTAAATCGCATCAAAAGTACTACAATAACCTGTCCAGCTGCATCAGCACAGTTAGTGGACTATCCTTGGCTAAAATCACAGAGTTGTTATCGGATCACACTTTATAGCACACAGTACAGTGCACAATGCATGCAGCAGTCTAAGTAAGCAACATGTGTATCCAAATTTATATATTTTTTTTTTATCACGCTTTTTTTCATCCGATTTTTAAAGTAAGCTTTGTATGATGTTTTTATTTTGCTTTGTTGGTCACAGCCCATTACCTTGGGACAGGAATAACCGTATCATGTGTATAACACCCAGGGGTGTGAATAAAGAAATCTGACGGCATCAGAGACCCGCAGCCTGCACTGTCTAGACAACAGCTGCCTGGTTTCTGTGGAAACTGCCACCTTTGGCTCGAAGACCAGATTAGACATCTCTCGAGAGCCAGAGGGGAAACAGGAAGCTTTATTCACCACTTTTAGCTTTCTGCTCCCTGTTGGGCCCTATCGTGCAACTTGAAAGCAATGTCCGTTTCCTCAGGGGATTAATATGTCTTTTACAGAGAGATCACTGCACTTGTACCGAGATGGAAGCAGCTTTATCATTGCAATCAAACACCTGCAGACACTGCGGTTACTTTGTTGCCCTTGAAAGTGTTTTCAGTAACAGGTTATCATATTATCAGACAGCACTTTGTATCCACACAGAAAATGTGTTCTTGAGATCTGCGGTGTTAAACGATGGGCTGACAGCTGCCATACACACCTCGAAACTCAGGTCTAGCCGGGTTATGATGGAGAGTGGTCATCAGATATAGCTCCAGAGTTTTATAATCCTGCCACAGATATGGAATTTTACTAACTTACATTTAACCACACAACTAACATGGAATTCAATCTCATAGTTTTTATAAGTATTTCAATGAAAAAAACTTTTCAAATGATTTATCTGGTCACCATTAAAGTCTGGGGGAATTTGTGTAGATAAAGCACTGGGAAAGGAATTAAATTGAGGCCATAGTGTGTGAATGAGCTTAGAATCATTTATTTTATTGTTTGACATCCGTAATGTTGAGAAATGTTTCCATCCCACCTTTCACTTTGGAAAACACATTGACCTCAAGTTAATATTGTGTAGAAGCTTTTCAAATGATTTAATATTTTTGTAAAGCTTTTAAAATACTTTAATCTTATGGACAATATTCAGTTTTGTAATGTTTTGATAAATCGTCTTTGCATAAGGTATCATTTTGATATTTTAATTATTTTTAAAAAATAATTTAAACATGTTATCAAAATATATTAAACTGAGGCCATTGTTAGCTTATTGGTTCTATCAATTCTAGAATGTTCATCTTAGCTGACAACTTCTCTCTTTCAACTCATGATAAATGTAAGTATTTGGAATGAGCCTAAATTAACAGCTCTGTTAGTGAACAGATTCTAGGGTAAAAAAATAATTCTTGTAAGAGGGATCTGTTCTGACTGATATACCTCCATTCTCCATCTGATTTTTTGTATACAAATTCCTTTAAAATGTATTAATATCAATATATATTTTAGAATGTATCCAACTCTTTATCAGAATAAATGTTAAACACTAATTTATGTTTCAGAAGTGAGGTTATACTGCTCCCTCTATAAAACAATTCAGTCTATTGGCTCTTTAGTAAAAATGTCTCATCTCGGTTTCCCTTTCTATAATTGATTTTTTCTGTAAACTGGAGGAGATAGGTGATTCCAGCTAAATGGGACCCTATAGGCATCAAAACATCTTGAGCTTGATGAAGCAGTTTTTGTGTATAGCTCATGCCCCTGAAGTCTCCCTGGCTGTGACTCACACAGCTTTCATGAAGTAAATTGCTTCATTTTTACATGTTAATTTACTTTAGAAGTGTTTATATCCTGCTCTACAAATTGAAATTTATTCACACATATGAGGCTCTAACAGGGTCTAAAAGGCTAATAACAGAGTAGGAGATAAGAAATTCTAAATTAAGCATAATTTACAGAATTTGCAATAAAGGAAGTGCAAACATTAGATGACTCTTTATATGAAGTGTTTGCAGGGAGGTGTGACTAGGGCTGCATGAAAAAAAAGTGATTCAACTCCTAAATTACAGTAAATTGAGCGGTGAGACTGCAGGGGCATGATATGTACACTAAAACGGCTTCATTAAGCTAAAGTTGTTTTGGTGACTGTAACTATAGTGTCCCTTTAAAGTCTTTACCTTCTAGAAATTTAAGAAACCTGTCTATTATATTGTTTCTTATTTTGATTTTGGAGGACTTGGCTGTAAAGTTTGTTAGGTCTTTTTTTTAAAATCACAGTTTAACTTATAACTTATTAAAACCTGTTAAAGTGTATAAGTAAGTATATATTATACTTGTTTATTATGTATATATGCCACAGCACTGTTTTGACCACTATGTTTAATAGTTTTGTCACTCTTTTATAATAGTATGCTTTTAGGGGAAAGTCACATGGATGTCTTTTTGAGTCACCACTTGGTATTTAACTTTAGTTGATAATAAACACCTACTAGCACTAGTGTTTTCTGTATTTTCAAACTCCTAAAGCAGTTTAGCTTGCTAAAGTGCTCTATGTGTGCAGAGTGTGTCCATTTTACAAAATGTGTAAATTTCAATAGAACTTTTATAAATTAACCTTTCTTATCCCCCCACCCCCCGGCTGTCAATCAGACAATAGGTTTAGTTACTTCCTGGTTTGGTTAGTTCAGTGGAGCTATACTTAAGAGTCAGCAATTGCCCAGAGCACCTGCCTTGCAAAGACTCATCGAGCTGCATTGGGAAGTCTGTGATTGGACAGCCACAAAAAGTTTGGGCGGGGTTAGAAGCGGAGGGCTTGCAAACTGCTGTGTTTGCAAGCTTGTTTTAGATACACCTCAATTAAAAAAATTCATAATTAAATGCATGCATTGTTTTGGTTTTTTTCGGACTGTGGAATGTCCCTTTAAGTTCAGAATGTGGTCAGCTGGCCACGTTGAACTTTTCCTCTCATTCTGAAGGTATTCTGATGAGTTTCTCATTGTATTAAAGTTGGTTTTCAATTCCCTATAATAATCTCACTGCGTGCTATATTTTTTTCTCTAACACATGTTCGCGCGGAATTTGTTTAAAGGAAAGAAAAAAGCAGTTTCACCTACCCCGAGGATAACAAAGGGTTTACACATTCTACATCATTTAACAAGAAATACTAACTCACACTTGTCTTTTGTTCTGCGTTTCTTACTATGGAATATTTTTATTTCATAAATTTTTATTTTTATATTTATATATATTTTTATTTCATTAATTTTTGCATTTTTGTCCTCTATTGTAACATGCTACTTGTCAGTTAATAATCATGATCACTGTTTGTATAAAGCTGAAATCAGACAGTTCGGAGTCTAGAAATTCCCCCCCCCATCCCCCTTTTTATATCAAGGTGGTCCAAATTGGGTTGTCACCGTCTTTGGATCAGCAGCAATAACAGATAATGAAGAGTCTAAACATAATGGAATTAAATATTTTATTATTTAACTATTGCCTCATTTTAATAAGCTTTCCAAATGATTCAATACTGTCGGGGAAATGTCCCAAATGATTTATCTACAAAAGCAACCAGTATAGCCTATTTAAAATTCTGAAGATAAATCATTTGAAAAGTAGTTTCTAAGAATATTAAATCACTTCTTATCACAAACCAATAAGAAAACAGTAAACAAGATTGGTAAGCATTCAAACCAAGGCCTTGCACTCACACTGTTTTATAAGCTTTTCAAATAATTTTATATTTTTGAATAAACCTTTAAAAAATTTTTTAATTATCCAAATTTATATACAAAAAAATCTAAATATTAAAAAATATCAAAATATCACAAAATAAAATATTTTTCATGATATTAAATCATCTTAAAGGCCTATCCAAAAATATTAAATCGAAGTCCAGTATTAGTATCATTTTCAATTTTAGAATTAAATTAAAGCTAAATATTAGAATATTATGTTTTGTACGAGTGATGGAGGGAAGTGGGGGGTTATAAGACACTTTTTATCTTCACTGCTTTGTAATCCAAGACAAAATTTAGCCTGAGTATTCACAGTATTGAGAGAGATGGGGATAGAATTATCTAAAAAATTTGAAGGAAAAATAGTGTTCTGATAGAATCGTTGCTTTTTGAGGTGTGCTTATGTTGTTCATTCTTTTTCCATTCTTTTATCTTAGCTTATAAATCAGGGATATTCTTGGAAAATCACCATCTGAGCAATACGAATCTCTTCTCCAGATATACCCTGACTGATTCCCAATCGACATTAAGAGATTGTCAGCTTACACTTGGAGAAATCCCACCAGATCTGAATCTCCACTCTCTCCGGTGTCTTCCGATGACATAAGCAATATATGGATGCTCTCAATTAATTTAGCCCCAGGCAGGTATCTCACTCAAGATGAGCGCGGCTGCCATTTAATTATATTAGAGAAAGCCATGAATATTCATCTCTGGTTATATCTCAGGCCAGCTGGGCCTGCTGGGCAAAGGCTCTGTAGCTTTCAATATATTACAGGCCTTTTCCAATACATATATATATATATATATATATATATATATAATACTCCACTATCACTTTTTCAGTGATCATATTAATGTTATTTATCAAGCTACAATATTTATAGACAATAATTGGGCAAACATATACATTTGAATTGTAGGAGCAGGGGTAACAGGAAAATAAACATGCCTTTTGCATGCCCCCCCACCCTGTATCCATTAAAAAAACATTTTCGCCATGGATGCCTTACCCCCACTGGTTGAGATCATCAATTCTGATGGTACCAGCCAACTGAACGCTTCCCCATAGGAAGGCTAGTGCACACTCAGCATCTTCTCCAACAGATGTATTGACTCAACGAATCTCTATGCGGAGAGTTTAGCATCTCCATGCAGAACATGGAGATACTGAATGTTGGTCCTGCAATCTTTGCAGAACTGAAGCCAGGAAGTCCCTAATAGCTGTCAGAATGACAACCACAAGAAGTGGACTTAGGCATTGTGTAAAAACTGCCCTTTCTCAAAATGCTCAGCCTGCAGGGATAGGCTATATGAGCCAGAAGTACTACATTCTGGTGCCTAGAAAGTCCTTTTTGAAAACCATAAAATACTTGCATAGTACAATATCATATTATTAACATTTCTAAAGCACAAGAAGATTGTGCAGTGTTTTACAATTACAGCAAGGGAAAGAAGACCCAGCTCAAACAAGTTTACAATCTATGAGCATTTGAGGTTGACTACTGACCCCGGCAGGGATTGCAGCAGCGGGGAATCAGCTGTCAATCATGGCAGCGTTTTCAGGCTATTAGTTTTAGGAGTGAGGCTTCAAGTACTATCAAATACATACCATGGTATCTGGCTGAGGTAGATCAACATAGAAATTTCTAAACCACCAGGCTGGCTCACTAGTGAGAAATTTAGTAATAGTCTGTTCTTGCTGTTCCAGGTGTGAACAACTTTTAGACAACACATACCGTGTACGGCTATCATCATAACAGCCATGACACAGGAGTTAAACATAAAAAACGCCTAAAGAATTGTAGACAAACAAACCCTGTAGAAAATGTATCTGCAGAATATGTTGACCCTATATAAATGACAGAATAATTGAAGGGATGCTATACTATAGTTTCTCAATGAAGCGGTTTGGGCGCTGTGTCCCTGTCCTTGTAACGCTGCAATGTAAAAATTTTTAGGAACTTACATTGCAGCGTTAAATTCGTGTCTAGTCGCTGTGATACTGACAGCCACTAGAGGCGCTTCTGCTGCAAAAAACGGGTAAAAGTGATCACATGATGCGGAAGCCCATAGGAAAGCATTGAAAACGATGCTTTCCTATTGGTTAGCTTGATTGCGCAAGCTGTGCTTGCGGCGCATGCACATCACATCCCCAATACTACTCTATGAGGAGCATTGGATTGGAGTATCATAAAGAAGGAATGACATGGTCACAGGACGCGGGGTGAGGTGAGGAGCGCAGAGAAAGTCTCGGCGCTCGAAAAGCGTTAATAAATCTTTTTTTTCATTAATTTGTATTGCATGTGGTGGGGATGGGGGTTCCTACATAGAACTAGGGAAATACTCAGATTTGTATTTCTTTAATAATAATAATGCCTGCATAAGTGTATTATGTACAGTAAAAATAGCTATTCTACAACAGCTTACATATTATTCATGTTTTCTCATGATTGACATTTGAGCCCTTGGATCTGTACAATGTATCCCAATGGATGACTCAAAAATCATAGGTGGGGCTTTATGGGCTCAAAGTTATCTGTAAATAAGAAAAAGTAAATAAACATTTGTTCCTGTGTTTTTGCTAGTAACGGGGTTAATGATCGATGGGCTATTAAATACGTCATGGAGCGTGCCAAATCCCTTGCTATGAAAGGGTTAATAAGTAACAATAAAATGTAATTGGACACATCACATGAAAACAAAGGACAAACAAACCCTTGGAGAAAGAGGGACAAAGATAGTCTCACTGCGTCTTGCATCAGGCTAACATCATTCATTGTGATATCGTGATCCCCCTTGGGAGCCAAGACTAATTGCTTTATTTCCCACATGACTTGATTTATTATATCTTCATAAAAATAAACATAGACCGTACCCTTCTATATCACAATGGGTGACGTCACACTCTGCAGGTTCCCCAATCACAAGCAACATCAGGAATTACTGGGGGTTAAATTCCAGGGGAGGCAGCTACTCTCTTCGGGTGATACCATTCATTCTGTCCCTCTTCCAAAACTCACATGCTGGGAGAGGATCCGGGGAGACAACGTGCCATTTTTTTATACTGGCAAATCTCTTAAGGGAGAGGGACTGAATTTAGGACAAAAGTTGTAAATAGCAGCTGCCATTTGGGAGTGTAACTCCTACAGCTTTTGGGCAGACAGATGCGTGTGTTTGTCCCAGTGGAACCCCCAGCCCCTATCCTCAACTTTAACCCTAAACTTAACGCTAGCATTAACCATCTTTAAAAAATCATGTAATATAAAACATACAATACATAATAGCGAAGCATTTATTAGGAGAACATAATGCTATCTCGAGGTTCGGACATTCGGAAACCATGCAAAGTTCAGCCTTTGAGTGGAAGGAGCAGGCCAGCCTCTTCCTCTTGTGTTCCAGATAATTGTTAGTTTTGAGACGTGCACAGTTGCCTGGTTTTCTTGTCTGGATCAGCTGGAGATTAGAATTATTTGACCTAATCCTACTTTAAATGGATTTTTTCCTCTTTATATGATCACAGAGCGTGCCCCCTCTCACCCCCCGCTGATGCACTTTTTGATGGGATGGAAAAATGGCTTTGATTTACTAAAGGTCAGATAGCTCATTGCAGAACTCAACTTATGTTAAATTCTCACTCACTTTGTCACTTCTGTCCACTAACTAACCAAAATTTGATTGCCAAATTGAGCCAAATTCAATATTCAAGATCAAAGTCAAATTACCCGTTGATGTAAAAGCAAACTTGGTAATAATGAGTTGCATTCATCTCCCAAGCCATTTGACAGCCCAATTAGTTGCTGCAAGCCAATATAATTAAGTGTGAGTAATTTAATATAGGTAGTATTAAAAGAACACAATGCTGAGATACAAGTTGATCTGATACAAAAAGAGACCATTTTGAAAAGTGAGACTTTATATGTAAAAGTTATGTACAAGTTAAATACCTTTTACTTCTATTTCTGCAGCCTCAGCCAGACCTTCCCTGGCTGTGACTCACACAACGTGCATTAAAAAAAAAATCAGCAATGTTATCAGTTTGTATCTCCTTTTTTTGTAAATTGAACTTTAATCACACACAGGAGTTTACTGCAGGCTGTATCAGGCTATCAACAGAGCAGGAGATAAGAGATTCCAAATTAAACAGACTGTGCAATAATGGAAATTCTGAGATATCTTCAGACTCTGTAAAGTTCTGCATTAAATATGTTTAAGAGGAGAGTGTCAGTATGTTAAGTAGTTATGTGTCACATCCTAGTTTATGTCTCATGGTGAGATGTTAACTGTATATCGAGCTGTGTATTTGTCTTATGTGACAATTGTTTCCCAATATGTTTTTCCATCTGTGAAGCTGTATGTGGGAGTCAGACCTTATAATTAATCATTATGTGCAATTTTGTTTTGTTCCAAATCAGGTTTTATCTGAATTTCGCCTGGCTCTGCAATTTGGAAGCGCCCAAATCTACCAAGTAGACGAAAAAACTAATGAAACAACAATGAATTCAAAATGATTAATTTCAGATCCATTAATTTGATAGAGATGGCAAACTAGTGAGTTATTTGCTAAACAACCGGAAAATTGAAATAAAAATAAGTCTGATCTTTTAGCAGTCTAGCAGATATTGCTCTAAACTGATACATTGTAACTCTGTGACAGCTACCTTCATAGGGAATAATGCTCATTGAATTTCACATTGAATTTCACAAATTTTTCCAAATTTCAGTGCAATGAAATTTGAAAGTTAACAAATCGAAACAAAACTATTTTTTTCACCATGTACATTTTTGTTAATCATTCTTCTCACCAGAGTATTCAGAGCAGTTTAGCAAAATATGTATTTAGTCCTCTACGACTCTCTGATCTCATAATTGATATATCCGTGTGCCTTCTCTTACCATGTTTTTCTGTGTCTATCTGTCTCTATTTGCAGGTTGTAAGTGCTCATAAGAGCTGCCTGTACTTTCTAACTTTCCACTAATTAGCTAAGGTGCCAGCGTGTAATATTATTGCAAGAAGTGGCAAACTGCTCACTTTGCAGAGTCTTCCAGACTATCAGATACTTATACTTTATAATTTTATAATTATTCCTGCTCACGTATGTATGTTTTATAGGCAATTACGTGGCCTGTTTGCTTGTAGACTGAAAGACTTTGATGGCACAGAATGTCTTTATGAGGTTGTTCACAGGTTTTTATAATGGGTAGAAATGAGCCAAGATTGATTGAATGGGTACCGATACATTGACAATGATAATGTCTACATCCTAGGTTACGGGTAGGCAACCTAGAGCATTATGGGAGATTTAGTCCACAACACCAGGAGTGCCGGAAGTTCCCTATCCTTGTCATAGATCATATTTTAAAACCAACAAAAGTTATTTCTTTCTAAAAAGTTGATATTTTTATAATCATTTCTCAAACGGTCTATAATAAAAAATAAATACATTTGGGAAATTAGTTTAAAACAGAAAACATTATGACAAAAAAAAATAAGAATTATTCTAGTGGTCATTGATTTGCAAATAACTGGGTAATGAAGGGGTTAACTTGTGCAATTTCAGTCTCTCTTGAGAAGTAACTTTTTGATCGTGGTTGCAGGAAAATAAAATCTAATAAAAGAAATGGAGCCTTCTTCTAAACCCCTCGACACACTGCAAGGAAATGAACTCACCGTTAGCTAAGAAACAAACTGGCAGGGAAATCGAATTAACACAGGAAATTGTAATCACATGAAGTAGAAATATGGCTGAGAAGCCCGGAACGAGTGGAAATGTAAAAAAAGACAAGCAGAAATGATGAACGAAGCACAAATAATACAAGTTTGGAAATGAGAACAAAGGACCAACTGGATTCCCTCGCTGCACAGAATCGGAATGAACGGTGAGATATAAATACAACAGGCAGCATTGTATGCAATTGTATGTTTTTAAACTTTTTTAACCGGGAGTTCAGACGAATTTCCAGATTCCAAAACAAATGTATCCATATCTTAATAAACGGAATAGAACGATAGGCCAGCCATTTTGGTTTATGTGGAATTCAGATTTCAGGTTATGGTGCCTGCTGTTACTAGCTGCTGTCAGTTAACGCCAACTTTGAATCAATCATTTACAGTCTGAATATTTTTTGTTTTTGTTAAAGGGATACCATAGGCATCTTTATTTGCTTCATTTAAGGTTTTCCCCAATAGCTATTTTTGTTGGAATCAATCCAAAATTTTTCAAACCTTAATTCTTCTGATCTAAAAAAAAAATCAGAAATCCAAATCGAATCAATTGAAAAAAATGTAAAAAAAATGTGTTTAGTGCATTGGTGGATTCTGTGTGGATAACATTCTGATGCTAAGTAGGACTGATTCGGGTTTTTGGAACTTTGGGAATCAAATGTGGATGCTATGTAATTGTCTGAAATTGTGTATGACATGATACCATAGTGTGCTCTGCAGGGTTGCTGTATGGGGGAGATGTGAGTTGCAAGTGATTGGTTGGTAGTGCAGGGCTAATATGAGGATGATGTATGTTGAATGAGAGCAAAGTCACTGGTCATTGTTACGTTGTTGAGGAGGACACAGAGATGGTATGTTCATTTTGCAATTTTTCGCTATCCCTATTCCCCAAGTTCACATTTACATTCACTCCTGCAGTGCTTATTGTCAGCGACCATCAAAATACATTTTTATTAAGTAAAACCTATTTTAATGGGGTAAAAAGGACCACAAACTGTCACCTATGTTTTAGTAATTGTTTCCTTAAAATATCGATTATTTAGAAATATTCCTAGTTCAAACTGTGATATATCATACCTTCTAAGTGTCCCTGCTTACTAGGGACAGTGCCTATTGTGGGCCCAAATTTCTCTGTCTCTCTTTTCTAGAAGCCCCATAATGTTGGTAAGTCTGAGTGTATAACAGAGCTCCACAGCATTAATACTCCCAGTAATGTGTCTGAGTGTATAACAGAGCTCCACAGCAATAATACTCCCAGTAATGTCTGAGTGTATAACAGAGCACCACAGCAATAATACTCCCAGTAATGTGTCTGAGCGTATAACAAAGCTCCACATCAATAATACTCCCAGTAATGTGTCTGAGTGTATAACAGAGCTCCACAGCAATAATACTCCCAGTAATGTCTGAGTGTATAACAGAGCTCCACAGCAATAATACTCCCAGTAATGTGTCTGAGTGTATAACAGAGCTCCACAGCATTAATACTCCCAGTAATGTATCTGAGTGTGTAACAGAGCTCCACAGTAATAATGTGTCTGAGTGTATAACAGAGCTCCACAGCAATAATACTACCAGTAATGTGTCTGAGTGTATAACAGAGCTCCACAGCAATAAAACTGTCAGTAATCTGTCTGAGTGTATAACAGAGCTCCACAGCAATAATACTCCCAGTAATGTGTCTGAGTGTATAACAGAGCTCCACAGCAATGATACTCCTAGTAATGTGTCTGAGTGTATAACAATGCTCCACAGCAATAATACTCCCAGTAATGTGTCTGAGTGTATAACAGAGCTCCACAGCAATAATACTCCCAGTAATGTGTCTGAGTGTATAACAGAGCTCCACAGCAATAATACTCCCAGTAATTTGTCTGGGTGTATAACAGAGCTCCACAGCAATAATACTCCCAGTAATGTGTCTGAGTGTATAACAGAGCTCCACAGCAATAATACTCCCAGTAATGTGTCTGAGTGTATAACAGAGCTCCACAGCAATAATACTCCCAGTAATGTGTCTGAGTGTATAACAGAGCTCCACAGCAATAATACTGCCAGTAATGTTTCTGAGTGTATAACAGAGCTCCACAGCAATAATACTCCCAGTAATGTGTCTGAGTGTATAACAGAGCTCCACAACAATAATACTCCCAGTAATGTGTCTGAGTGTATAACAGAGCTCCACACTAATAATACTCCCAGTAATGTGTCTGAGTGTATAACAGAGCTCCACAGCAATAATACTTCCAGTAATGTGTCTGAGTGTATAACAGAGCTCCACAGCAATAATACTTCCAGTAATGTGTCTGAGTGTATAACAGAGCTCCACAGCAATTATACTCCCAGTAATGTGTCTGAGTGTATAACAGAGCTCCACAGCAATAATACTTCCAGTAATGTGTCTGAGTGTATAACAGAGCTCCACAGCAATAATACTCCCAGTAATGTGTCTGAGTGTATAACAGAGCTACATAGCAAAAATACTCCCAGTAATGTGTCCGAGTGTATAACAGAGCTCCGCAGCAATAATACTCTCAGTAATGTGTCTGAGTGTATAACAGAGCTCCACAGCAATAATACTCCCAGTAATGTGTCTGAGTGTATAACAGAGCTCCACAGCAATAATACTACCAGTAATGTGTCTGAGTGTATAACAGAGCTCCACAGCAATAAAACTGTCAGTAATCTGTCTGAGTGTATAACAGAGCTCCACAGCAATAATACTCCCAGTAATGTGTCTGAGTGTATAACAGAGCTCCACAGCAATGATACTCCTAGTAATGTGTCTGAGTGTATAACAATGCTCCACAGCAATAATACTCCCAGTAATGTGTCTGAGTGTATAACAGACCTCCACAGCAATAATACTGCCAGTAATGTTTCTGAGTGTATAACAGAGCTCCACAGCAATGATACTCCCAGTAATTTGTCTGAGTGTATAACAGAGCTCCACAACAATAATACTCCCAGTAATCTGTACGAGTGTATAACAGAGCTCCACAGCAATGATACTCCCAGTAATGTGTCTGAGTGTATAACAGAGCTCCACAGCAATAATACTCCCATTAATGTGTCTGAGTGTATAACAGAGCTCCACAGCAATAATACTGCCAGTAATGTTTCTGAGTGTATAACAGAGCTCCACAGCAATGATACTCCCAGTAATGTGTCTGAGTGTATAACAGAGCTCCACAGCAATAATACTCCCAGTAATGTGTCTGAGTGTATAACAGAGCTCCACAGCAATAATACTCCCAGTAATGTGTCTGAGTATATCACAGAGCTCCACAGCAATAATACGCCCAGTAATGTGTCTGAGTGTATAACAGAGCTCCACAGTAATAATACTCCAAGTAATGTGTCTGAGTGTGTAACAGAGCCCCACAGCAATAATACTCACAGTAATGTGTCTGAGTGTATAACAGAGCTCCACAGCAATAATACTCCCAGTAATGTGTCTGAGTGTTTAACAGAGCTTCACAGCAATAATACTCCCAGTAATCTGTACGAGTGTATAACAGAGCTCCACAGCAAAAATACTCCTAGTAATGTGTCTGAGTGTATAACAGAGCTCCACAGCAATAATACTCCCAGTAATGTGTCTGAGTGTATAACAGAGCCCCACAGCAATAATACTCCCAGTAATGTGCCTGAGGGTATAACAGAGCTCCACAGCAATAATACTCCCAGTAATGTGTCTGAGTGCATAACAGAGCTCCACAGCAATAATACTCCCAGTAATGTGTCTGAGTGTATAACAGAGCTCCACAGCAATAATACTCCCAGTAATGTCTGAGTGTATAACAGAGCTCCACAGCAATAATACTCCCAGTAATGTGTCTGAGTGTATAACAGAGCCCACAGCAATAATACTCCCAGTAATGTGTCTGAGTGTATAACAGAGCTCCACAGCAATAATACTCCCAATGTGTAATACAGGTATACAACAGAGCTCCACAGCAATAATACTCCCAATAATGTGTCTGAGTGTATAACAGAGCTCCACAGCAATAATACTCCCAGTAATGTGTCAGAATGTGTAACAGAGCTCCACAGCAATAATACTCCCAGTAATGTGTCAGAGTGTGTAACAGAGCTCCACAGCAATAATACTCCCAGTAATGTGTCTGAGTGTATAACAGAGCTCCACAGCAATAATACTCCCAGTAATGTGTCTGAGTGTATAACAGAGCTCCACAGCAATAATACTCCCAGTAATGGGTCTGAGTGTATAACAGAGCACCACAGCAATAATACTCCCAGTAATGTGTCTGAGTGTATAACAGAGCACCACAGCAATAACACTCCCAGTAATGTGTCTTAGTGTATAACAGAGCTCCCCAGCAATAATACTCCCAGTAATGTGTCTGAGTGTATAACAGAGCCCCACAGCAATAATACTCCCAGTAATGTGTCTGAGTGTATAACAGAGCTCCACAGCAATAATACTCCAATTAATGTGTCTTTAAACTATAATAAATGTGTTTACAAATAGACTTGTGCATTCGGTTTTGGTTAATTCCCAGGTCGTCTGAATTTAGGCTAGAAGACTGTTCAGCCGAACTGTGTATCTCTGAAGTATAGATTATTTTTATAATGCTCCTCCTCATTTTCCGTTTATTGGTTATTTCTTCAAACTTGATCTGTGAACCAAATATTGGGAGAATGCTCCTATTAATGTACTGCAAAACAGATAGATAATATTTATTTTCTGAATACATTTTGCAGCACATCGATTGGCCCATTTTTGCAAAGTTCCAGAATATTATTCAGGGACATGCTTTAAGATACCTCCATTTTAGTAAAAGATGATTAAAAAAAATACAAACATCAGCACTTCATGTGACTGGCATCGCCCAATTTGGATTTAACGTGTGGGGTGGAGTAAGAATGTTTTGCTAAACATCTCTATGAATCAAGAACATATATTTCAAAAACAAGGTAGACTTTTGGGGGTTATTTCCTGTTTACATAACTTGTCTTTTGTCCTGTAATCATTATATTTAAAGCAAAAGGAAACACATCATTTTATGGTTTCTATGTAATTAGCAGCTCAGTCTGGACATGGTGAGGACATGTTATCGTTTAACAGAGTGCGGGCTATTCACTATTCACCAAATTAATCAAAAACTCATTTCCAAGTTTAGTCGAGAATAGTCCAGTTGGCAAAGTTCGGTGTCAGCTGGGTTTTCAGTTCAGTAGCGTTGGTTTTAAATTGGACATTTACTTTGATGTCACTTTGAATCCTCAACAATTCCCATGTTAATGAATAACACGTACGAAGCCTTGTTCAGTTATTTGTATGAAGACCAATTATACAATTATGTATTTTAATTTGATATGTTGTTATTAAGGAAACTATATATTTAAATTGGATATATCCCTTATAAGCCCTGTGATTATACTTTTTATTTTTTGTTGTCCACATATTTCAGCACTGTAGGTTTGGAGAATCGGTCACTGAACTATTTTTACAATTGGAGAATGGGTCACTATCCAACGCCATTTACCATACAGGATCAAGATGTCAGGCAGGATAGCAAATGTTGCTTTAATCCACACAAACACGTGTCAACCTTTTTGGCTTCATTCATCGTTTGTCAGGTCATTTTTGGGTTCCACTTACAATTCCTTCTAACCGTGATCAAACAGAGATCAATATTTGTGGCCACGACATCAGTGGTGTATTCACCGTGAGGCTAACAAGGCATGTGCCTTCTTGTGGCCGAGGTGGGTTGCAGCTTGCGCGCCACTTAGTGATGCCGGCAGCCGGAGTATGACGTCAGTTGAGCAGAAAGATCAGAGCTCCCTCGCCGTCTACTCTGCCAGTACACCCCCTGCCGAAGCAATGACATGATACCATAGCGTGATCTGCAGGTGGCCAGATTTTACACTTCACACTAGATCACCTGGGTTAATGTCTAAATGTATAATGGTAGTTAAACAAAATTGTGGTATAGGCACTCAAGGATCTACTACGGGAGGGTTAGCCCACCCCAGGTCTGTCTACACCAGGATTTTATTAAGTGTGCGGTATTCCTCTTTTTCATTTATATACATGTATAATAGTAGCATTTTATACTAGGAGAATGCCAACCATTTATGTAGCACTGTACAACATGGAAAGCAAATGGACAAACTATTACAAAGAACAGAACAGCTATACATAGATACAAAGTGTAAGAGGCACACAAAATCTTAACAGCTTTCCCAACTGGTAAAGTCGGACTCAAGGGCCCTTAAATGAACTTTAATTTACAAGTGTCAGTAGAGAGGGAACTTTTACCATTGCCAACACTTACAGAGGTAGCAGAAGACTGAAATACAGGCAGGTCCCCATTACACAAAACATAGGGCAAGGCCGTATAATGGTTTTGGCATCTTACAGTCTTATCCCTGACATATAACTGATATCCGATATTCCTCAAGGAACAAGGAGGAAGACGGCCACATCTGTTAAACCCATTTAGAGTTGCAGAGACTCGAACAACATGCAAACTGTAAAATATGTGAAAACTGTGTATTGCACACGTTTGTACATTCTAAATGATGTGGAACACTAGCTCACTGTGACTAGAGGAATCGGCCATAACTCCATGGCTAATGCGAAATAAATTAAACACTGATCACAGGTATAAATTTGAGGGGTGCTTACCTTATTTCTCTTTCTACAGAATTATAGAAATAGATCTAAAATGGACAGCAATCAGGGTTGCGTTATCTGTCATACAAAGAAGTTCTGCCTGACCTATGAATTCTGGACAGATTACGTCCCACACCAGGTGCCCATATAAGAACTGGCAGACTGTGAATGACGTAATTACAGTTATTTGGAGACATCTTCTATTAGTGGCATGGTTACAGTTCTTTAAGATCGGACCTGGAATTTTCTACAAGAATTTAGAGATTATTCCAATATTATCCAAATATATAACCAGGAAAGGTACATTTAGGTTTTTGCCATTTTCATCTTGGGGTCTTGTTGTTATTAGTACCAAATGAACGGTTCTCATGAATGCTAAAAGAGCAGAACTTGCTTGGAATTGAATCTGTGATCTCTGCGATACTGTGGGTGGAACGTTATCCATCGAGCCATCTCCCTGACAGCATAGGAACTTTTTAAATCTAGGCCATAGAGCAGCTGGTACGCAAATGAACCAATGTGTGCATAGGTTACTGTGATTACAAAGTGGTTACTGTAACCATAATGACACTGATTAATCAAGTATAACTATTGGCAGCCTAACGATTGTTTGATTAATTACAAATAAATCAATAAGACCACAAGGCCATGATCATAATTAACTCATGTACGATGCTTGGTTTAATTAAATAATTACTTGCCATAGCAGTAAAGACGTTAAACTAATCACAATTATGGAGATTAAATGGGAATGTTGCCAACAGGGACATGGCATTAATCAGTGTCAGGATGAACGCAACCAACCTAAGTATTGAACACCTCAGCTTAGTAATTACCGAGACACGTCTGTACGATTTGTGAGTGTCTTTGTGGTAAACAATATAAAGTTTTGTTAACTAAACTAGGAGTTGTAGAAATGGCAAAATAATACTCAGTAGGTTTTTTTTTTCTGAACAGCCATTTTAGATTTTGATTTACAATTGGAAATTGAAACATAACATTGTTAGCTCATTAGTAAACAGAACAAAGCCAAAATGGCAAAGTATGACATAGACTTAGAATGTGACTTAAAAGAGTAGTAGACACAAACGTGATTATTCACTAAAGAGTGATCTGCCAGGAATTTAAAGATAATTTCAAATTGTAGACCAAAATAGTGAGAAATATAACTAAATTGGAGAATCTTTCCAGTTTGGATATTTTTGTCTACAACTGTAAATTCACTTTCAATTTACTTCAAATTCCAGAGAAGTCACAAATTAGTGACTAATTGTAAACAAAATAAAACGGAAAATTTGTAATAATATGTAAAAAATAAATTTCAGCCATAATTCAAAGTTGTTTTTATTACCATGTATTTTTATAGCACCAAAAAATTTGGCAGCACAATACAGAACTTTATTTAACGATAGAGACAAGTCAAGAAAAAGTTGCAATGACCCTCCCACTAGCTAACCGTCAAAAGAACATGGGGGCATTTTAAACACAAAGGCGTTAGGAGCCAGTCAAGGATCGAGTCCTAGAATTGGAGATTAAAATGCTGAGATAGTCAGTCTATTAAAGTTTAGGTCAAGGGCAAGGTTTTGAGCTTGTAGCTAAAATGGAAGGAGGAGGAAGGCAAGAGTCTATATATGGCAGTGAGATCTAGGGAATAGTCCATAGCAGTGGTTCCCAAAATAGTCCTCACAACCCAGTACAGGTTTTGTGAGTATTGCCATTGGAATAAAACAGGAAATACATAAATCCTGGATTGTTGGTGGGCCATAAGGACTGTCTTGTCAACCACTGGTAGATATCGCATAGATGACATAAGGCATGGAATACGTAGACAGAGATAAAAAGGTATCAGATAATAAGGAAAGCAGATGGGGGCAGGTCACAGAACGAGAGGAGGACTCATGTAGGAGATATAATGGAGGCACAGAAGGCAGACATATGGGTAAAAGAAGAATCATGGCAGGCGCTGCGTGCCTGAGTCAACATTTTTCATTTTGTATCTTGATGGAGTGAGCAGCCGGTGGAGTTTTGATGAATAATGGAGGAAGATGAGGCAGACGTATTCGGGCAGCATTCTTTACGTGGATGCGGCAGGACCTGGTGAAGGGGTGAATGGGAGGGCAAAGTCAAATACTAAATAAATGATATAAGTAAACTGGGCAAAACCATATATAACATATATCACTCTGGATTTCATTATACTATGACACCATGTTGCTGTAATACAGTCATTTAAAACATTTTGCAGCATGCTCATACAGAGAAGCCATTTTGATTTTCTATCAAAGCTCAAAGGATACATTTTGTCATAACAAAATATAAATGCAAACTATCTCATTTAGAAAGTGATTTATGAAAAGGATGGTGAATAGATATGCTATAGTTTACATTATTTAATATATTAGGTTCTCCTTCCAGTCAATAAAAAATATATAAATTAAAATTATATCAAACCCTGTCTGCTTTAAAAGCAAGATGGCTGCTCTCACTGAGTTTGTTTTGCTATATATTACTTGTTGGACAAAATACATTGTAACTGCTAACTCTGTAGTTATTGCGTTTAAGTTAACATTATATTCTGGTAATTGTATAATTTATATTTGGCCACCACTGATTTTATCAATAAAAAAGCAAACAATAGTGATATATACTAGGCATTTATTTATCATTTTTATATTTAAATACACAAGTATGTAACTAAATATTATATTATTAATCGACTAATTTACATATGAAAATGCAACACCTACTGGAAAGTAATTACATGTCTGTAATTAAAAACAGTGGAATACTAAAACTTAGCTTTCTCATTTGTCTCTACGGACATCTCAACACATGCTGCTGGAGAGTTTCTATTTTATTGGGATTTAGCAAATAAAAAAACGAATTCTTTGGTAAAAACATCTGATTTGGAAAAAATTACAAATTTACAGGTGTGTAGTGTTTGTAGGTTATGTTACGGGTAGTTATACTGAGTTAGTTTATATTTTTAAAGGGACACTGTGGGCTCCAACATACATTAGGTTACAGTTAGTTATACAGGTTTGTATTAAAGGGGCACTCCAAGATCCCACACAAGTGTACTGTGTAGGTTAGGTTATCCTGGGTGGGTTAGTTATACTGGGTGGGTTTATATTATTAAAGGGACACTCCAGGCTCCCACACACGTTAGGTGCACTGTGTAGGTTAGGTTACAGTTAGTTATTACGGGTGGGTTTAAATTAATAAAGGGACACTCCAGGCTTCCACACAAGTTAGGTGACACTCCAGGCTCCCACACATGTTAGATGCACTGTGTAGGTTAGGTTACTTTTTAGGTTACAGTTAGATATACTGGGTGGGTTTATATTATTAAAGGGACACTCCAGGCTCCCACACACGTTAGGTGCACTGTTTAGATTAGGTTACAGTTAGTTATACTGGGTGGGTTTATATTATTAAAGGGACACTCCAGGCTCCCACACGTTAGGTGCACTGTGTAGGTTAGGTTACAGTTAGTTATACTGGGTGGGTTTATATTATTAAAGGGACACTCCAGGCTCCCACACACATTAAATGCACTGTGTAGGTTAGGTTACAGTTAGTTATACTGGGTGGGTTTATATTATTAAAGGGACACTCCAGGCTCCCACACACGTTAGATGCACTGTGTAGGTTAGGTTACAGTTAGTTATACTGGGTAGGTTTATATTATTAAAGGGACACACCAGGCTCCCACACATGTTAGTTGTACTGTGTAGGTTAAGTTACAGTTAGTTATACTGGGTGGGTTAATATTATTAAAGGGATACTCCAGGCTCCCACACACGTCAGGTGCACTGTGTAGGTTAGGTTACTTTTTAGGTTACAGTTAGATATACTGGGTGGGTTTATATTATTAAAGGGACACTCCAGGCTCCCACACACGTTAGGTGCACTGTGTAGGTTAGGTTACATTTAGTTATACTGGGTGGGTTTATATTATTAAAGGAACACTCCAGGCTCCCACACGTTAGGTGCACTTTGTAGGCTAGGTTACAGTTATATTGGGTCGGTTTATATTATTTAAGGGACACCCCAGGCTCACACACGTTAGGTGCACTGTTTAGATTAGGTTACAGTTAGTTATACTGGGTGGGTTTATATTATTAAAGGGACACTCCAGGCTCCCACACGTTAGGTGCACTGTGTAGGTTAGGTTACAGTTATACTGGGTGGGTTTATATTATTAAAGGGACACTCCAGGCTCCCACACATGTTAGGTGCACTGTGTAGGTTAGGTTACAGTTAGTTATACTGGGTGGGTTTATATTATTAAAGGGACACTCCAGGCTCCCACACATGTTAGGTGCACTGTGTAGGTTAGGTTACAGTTAGTTATACTGGGTAGGTTTATATTATTAAAGGGACACACCAGGCTCCCACACATGTTAGGTGCACTGTTTAGATTAGGTTACAGTTAGTTATACTGGGTGGGTTTATATTATTAAAGGGACACTCCAGGCTCCCACACATTAGGTGCACTGTGTAGGTTAGGTTACAGTTATACTGGGTGGGTTTATATTATTAAAGGGATACTCCAGGCTCCCACACACGTCAGGTGCACTGTGTAGGTTAGGTTACATTTAGTTATACTGGGTGGGTTTATATTATTAAAGGAACACCCCAGGCTCACACACGTTAGGTGCACTGTTTAGATTAGGTTACAGTTAGTTATACTGGGTGGGTTTATATTATTAAAGGGACACTCCAGGCTCCCACACGTTAGGTGCACTGTGTAGGTTAGGTTACAGTTATACTGGGTGGGTTTATATTATTAAAGGGACACTCCAGGCTCCCACATACGTTAGATGCACTGTGTAGGTTAGGTTACAGTTAGTTATACTGGGTGGGTTTATATTATTAAAGGGACACTCCAGGCTCCCACACATGTTAGGTGCACTGTGTAGGTTAGGTTACAGTTAGTTATACTGGGTAGGTTTATATTATTAAAGGGACACACCAGGCTCCCACACATGTTAGTTGTACTGTGTAGGTTAAGTTACAGTTAGTTATACTGGGTGGGTTAATATTATTAAAGGGATACTCCAGGCTCCCACACACGTCAGGTGCACTGTGTAGGTTAGGTTACAGTTATACTGGGTGGGTTTATATTATTAAAGGGACACACCAGGCTCCCACACATGTTAGTTGTACTGTGTAGGTTAGGTTACAGTTAGTTATACTGGGTGGGTTTATATTATTAAAGGGACTCTCCAGGCTCCCACACACGTTAGGTGCACTGTGTAGGTTAGGTTACAGTTAGTTATACTGGGTGGATTTATATTATTAAAGGGACACTCCAGGCTCCCACACACGTTAGGTGCACTGTGTAGGTTAGGTTACAGTTATACTGGGTGGGTTTATATTATTAAAGGGACACTCCAGGCTTCCACACACATTAGGTGCACTGTGTAGGTTAGGTTACAGTTATACTGGGTGGGTTTATATTATTAAAGAGACACACCAGGCTCCCACACACATTAGGTGCACTGTGTAGGTTAGGTTACACATAGTTATTTATGCTGGTTTTTATTAATTAAAACACAGACCCAGATCGTTGCAGTGTGTGGCTAGGTTACATTTGGTTAAGCTGGGTGTGTTTTTTTTAATATCCCATAGATTTCTGAAAATAATAATAATTTTTCTCAATTTTCCCACCTTCTGTGTTCTTCATGTGACAGTTTCTTTTTTTCTAATTTAAATGTGTTTATTAGGAGTGCAGAGAAGTGCATAGCACATTACCCTAATGATACATAGAATATTATGATTTGCAATAGTAAAACAAAACATTAACCATTAACCAAATAAAGCATGTAACATGTAAAATCATTCCCAGAATCCCTTGCTGTGTTGGCAAAGCATAGACTCTATGGTGAGCAGGGCTTCATGAGATAAGCTTAGTGCTAACATAGAAAGTTAAGTTTAGTTAAAGTACTTGCTGGTCTCATTTTGGATAATGTAAGACCAAAATTTAGAATTTTTATGTTTCAATATTCTTTTCTGCGGGATATACAGATGGAAAGATGAATATTTCTCTCTCCATTCATAACGTTCTAAAGTCTTTCAGGCAATTTCTGTTCAACAAGTAAGGCGACCCTTGGCGACTGGTAACTGATAACTTGCATAGTGCCCGGGGGATCTTAATCCGTCTCTAAAAAGGTTCCATTTAAGATCTTTTCTTTTTGGATAGAACACAGAACTGAAGGAATAATAGCATCTAGTTTCTATTCAGACATGCCTTTTTAAATAACATGTAATGTTCCTTCCTTAAAGGGACACTAAAGTCACCAAAACAACTTTAGCTTAAAAAAACATAGTTTTTGGTTATAATTCATGTTCCTGCAGTCTTATTGCTCAATTCTCTTCCATTTAGGAGTTAAATCACTTTGTTTATGCAGCCCTAGCCACACCTCATTGCATGTGACTTACGCAGCCTTCCCAAACACTTCCTGTAAAGTGAAATCTAATGTTTACTCTTCCTTTATTGTAAATTCTGTTTAATTTAGAATTTCTTATCTCATGCTCCGTTAATAGCTTACTAGATCCTGCAGGAGTCTCCTGTTTATAATTAAAGTTCGATTCACAGAGTACAAGATAAAAACTTTAAAAAAAAAAAATTTTTAAACAGTCTTTATTTTCGATTTTTCTGTCATATAAAAGACAATACAAAACATTAAACAAACAAAATAATTGACAATAATAATACATATTACATTCTACCTGTGAGGAAAAAAAAAGACTTAATGAGGACAAGGATGTACTTATCTAATCTTTATATACCTTGTATTTAAAAACTCTGAAGTGCATATTTTACTCGGACTTTATGTAAATGCTAATACAAGATGCAAACATTTTCTCTTAACAGTTTATTCCTGACCGAGGTATTATTTCTCTAGCATATGCCCAATTCCATCTTTAATTGTAATGTCAGTTGTTTTACCCACTGATAGTAGCTATCAATAGCTAATAGTAGCTAATTTCTTAAGGTTGTTTCCAGTTTCTTCCTAAGAGAATCTTCACGACCAAATGCTATGTGTGGTCAAATAATATTGGAATGTTGTTAATTCCGGCCAACCCAAGTGTAGTAATGCTGCTATCTGAGTTTTATTAATTTTAATCTTATAACAATCATATAAAGTTTTATAAACCTGATCCCAAAATGTTTAACATTTTTGAACAACTCCACCATATGTGTAGATAACTTCCAACTACCTTCATACATCTCCAACACAAATTTGAAACACTAGGATCCATTTTATTTGATCTTGTTGGCACTAAATACCCCCTATTACATACTTTATAAAATGTTTTCAATCAGAATTTTATTCTGAACTTTTGTCTTTGTTTTGACTAGTATTTCACCCCATACACAAATATCAATATTAATATTACACTCAGTTTCCCATTTTTTCAACTGTTTTGTCAGAATAAGAGACATTGATCTGATCAACATATAACATTTTAATAGATGTTTTGCAGTTTTTTTTATTTCAAAAATTGATCTCATATATATGGAGTTTTTACTTTTCCCCTCATCAAAATTTCTCGAGACCAGTGATTTAACTCTTAAATAATTAAATATTTCAGATTCTGGTAAATTATATTCTAGGACTAATGATGCAAACATTTTCATTCTTCCCTCCTTCATTATATTATTTAGGTCTTTAATTTTCTTTTCTCTCCACAGATCTAGTTTTAAATCATCTGTAAGAGATTCCAATATCTCCAATTCCATAAATCCATATATCTTTCCAGTATTTTTCATCTTTTTTCTTAATTTAAACCATACTGAAAATATGTGGGTTAAAATTATTTTTTTATTTTTTTTCAATACCAGATATCCTTTTCTCTGCCAAACAAGTTTATTTAAATAGATATTATGATATTATGCAATGACTGAGTTTCCAAGATAAACCATCCTGTTTCTTTTGCTTCCCTTTTAGTTAGAATTTTAATATGGTGGACTATACTGGCTTCTTAATGTTTTTTGATATTGGGGAAATTCATACCCTCATGCCCCAAGCTATTAGTCAACTGTTCTAAATTAATGCTGGGTCTTTTCCCTCTCCATACAAAGTTTCTAAAACTTATTTGTATAATCTCTACCAGCTGTCAGGTATCTAGTGGAATCATTTAAAAATAAAATAGGTCCACTTGGGAATTATGTAAGTATTGATGATAATAATTCTTCCTAGCCAACTCAATAGCAAAGTATTAAATTTTTTAGAGTTAGACTTGTTAATCTAATCAGTTTTAAGAAATTATCTTCTACTATTCTATTAGTTTTATCCGATAGCATTATACATAAATATTCAAAATTCCTTTTAGTTTCTTTAAAGCCATATTTACCTAGTATTGATTTTTTTTAGACCAGCGTCACAGTTTTTAAACATAATAACAGATTTATCTATATTTATCTATAATTAGATATTTCACTATATTGCATTATCTCATCTATCAAATGAGCAACAGAAACAATTGGATCGGCCAAATCAGCATATATACACAGCTTCAGTTCTTTAGAGGCTGTTGAAATCCCCTTAATATCATGTTTTGCCCTTATTCTTATTGCTAGAGACTCCATAGATAGTATATATAGTATTGGTGAAAGAGGGCAACCTTGTCGGGTGCCATTACCTAACAAAAAACAATCGGAACATAGATCTATTCATACCACCATAGCCATTGGTTCTTGATATATAGTTTGAATTGCTGCCCAACCACCAAAACCCATAGACTCCAGCACCCCGAACATATTTTCCCATCCGACCCTGTCAAAGGCCTTTTCTGCATCCAATTTCTATTCGATTTCAATTTCTATTTTGTTAATTTTATCTTTAAGATAATTTAATTGTTTTATCGTTTAACTAGTTAGATTTTTTTAATTATTTTTAGATAATTTAGAATATTCTATATATAGCTCTTCCCTCAAGGCTCCTTTTTTTCTTTGAATTTTACTTTTGAGTTTTATCAAATATCCTCTTACTACAGCACACCAGATCATTGCATAAGACATTCCTTTTTTTTCCATTTTATTTTCTTTGAAATACAGTTCTGTTAAGTTTCTAATATATTTTTCATCTTCCATTCTGGAAAGGATATAATCATACAGACGCCAAGTGTTAAAAGGTTTATATTTTTTTAAATCTTTTGTGTCGAACAAATTATAGCCATGATTCGCCCATGGATTCTCCTTTATTATAATTTTCTGGATTTGTTCTACTAAACTATTGTCTACCAAACCCAGATCAATTCTAGATAACGAATGGTGTACTCTAGAACAATGTGTAAATGTGTTTTCTTTTACATGATAGACTCGCCATATATCTAACAAGTTATTTTCTTTCATAATATTTCTTAGAATGTTAGATTGTTTCTTTAATTGGTTACTTATTTTTCTGTTATCTTTAGTTTTTTTTTTAATCCAATACCGTATCCAGGACACAATTAAAGTCCCCTGTAATAACTAACATTACCATTTTTACCTTTTCTACTCTATCCGTTATCTTTTTTAGATACTTTGTTGGTGATATATTTGGAAGATAGAGGTTTATAAAAGTGTATTTTACAGAGTCTACCTTACAAACTAGGATTTGATATATTTCTTAGTTATCTACCTCTGTATATAATATCTATTTTTTAAGCCATTTTGAGAAGATAATAGCAACTCCTCTCTTTTTTTTCCTCTCAAGAGATGCCTGTATAACTTCTTTGTACATCTCATATCTCCATCTAATTTTCTCTTCCATTTACCAATGAGTCTCTTGTATCATGGCTATATCTATCTGTTCCTATCTGAGTAATTCATATAGAAGTTTCCTTTCAAATGGGGGATTCAAACCCAGTATTCATAGAGATGCACTTCAGAATTCTATCTTTCTCATTTACTCTTAGTCCCATTCTTAGCTTTCCTCACAGGATCAACACAAAAAAACTTCTACACAACACAAAGGTTCACCTAAAAAAGGTAAAACCACATATTTTCTCACTTAAAAAAGGAGAGACCTCCATCACCCTCTTAATGTATTCCTTGACACAGTTCCCTATAATGTCAAGAGCTGAGATGTACTAAGTGATCTCCAAGCAGGGGTATTTTCAGAGGTTGACCTGGGCCAGCGACTTCCATAATAAATATTCATTTATCCCTTGTTGTCACTTCTGGCCATTAAAGCATATATAAGAACTATAGCTAATGATATAGAGGTTTAGACACCGAATGCCAACCATAAAGAAAGGGCTTACCACTTAAATGAAATTATAATTTTTCTTTAAAGTAAGCGCACCCATTTTAACGAAAAATTATCATTTATCTAACACTTTTATATATTACCCTTAGAATTGTGTGTTTATTATCTTTTATTTATGTATAATTTTCTCTCTTATCTCCCCCCCTTTGAACTTCATCCCCCTAAAAAGTGCCCCCCCCCCCCCTTTTCTCTCTTTCCTTTCCATATATTTTGTGGTCACTCTTTTTTTGTGTAAACTTGTGCCTTTTTCTTTTCCCTTTATATAATTCCATTTTTCCTTTCTCTTTTTCTCTTTCTTTTCCTTTCTTTTAATCTGTGCTGATCACACTCTATTTTGTGTAATTCACTTATATTCACACGTCTATTCACCATATACATTATTCCCAATCTATATATAGACATATGTATGCTTAAAAAAGTCCTTTATCACAGTCCTCTGTGTTTCTTCCCCATTCTCTTGTGACACTTATTTCTGTGACTTGCTCCGTATTACTTTTAGTGTCCTGTGCTAAAAAAACCTTTCTTGTTCTTTCCTTTCCCTTCTCTGCATGTTCCTCTGAATGACACCCTACTAGTTTTTTAATCTTTTCATTGTGTTTGTTCTTTGGTCCATTCCTCCAATTCCCTTGCCTCAGCGAACGTTTTCTTTGTGTCTTTCCAAAATACTGTTATTGTTCAGTTAGGCCCCCAGTGATATCTTATATTATGTTGTTTAAGTGACATCAGAGCTGGGGCGAATACTTTTCTTCACATTCTTGTTAATGAGAATGAGAGGTCTTGATATATTGTGATGTTTCTAAATCTTTCTTCTATTATCTTCTTAGTTCTACTTATTTGGATTATTTGCTGTTTTGTTTGTAAAGAATACCACCATAACCATATTTTGTGGTTTTCTCACCCGGTATGTATTTTCAATCACCATTTCTTGATTTTGTAATGTTGGTATTTAGCGCTGCAAAAAAAATCTGATAAAAATTCCTTTATCTTGTCATGGGCAATGTCCTCAGGTATATTTTTTAGTCTGATATTTTTTTTTTTATTCTTTGTCTGTCCTCCATTTGGTTTAATCTGTGTTCTAAATTATTGATATCCATCTTCATTCTCTCTTGATCCTCAATTGCTGATTTACACTGGAATTCTATTTTTTCATATTTTCCTTCCATTTTAGTTAGTTTCATACCAATCTCTTCGATTTGTTGTTTTAATTGACATGTACTCATTACTTATTTCCTTTTTGAATGTTTCTGTTTGATTTCCAGATTTGTTTTAATACATTCTTGTAAATTAGACGAAGAGTTTCATCTCTCCTCCATAAGAGATTCTTCTGAACGTGAATGATCAACTCCTTGTTTATTTTGGGGAGAGAAAAAGGCAGGCATTTGTTTATCTTGTTTGCTATCCTCTTTTAGTTAGTTTTTCTTTGGAGTCTTTGCAGTAGCCATTTTCACTACATTTTTTCCTCTTTTCTTTCTCCATTCCCTTTATTTTCCTTTTCCTTTTGTATTCCATTTTTACTTCACATTCTCCTTTCTAGTTAATATAAACTAATGTAGTTCCAATCTTAGGCTTCTGCAGTTGTCATCATCCTTAGGTTTTTGTTTTAACTTACGTATAGATTTTTGATTTATCACAATTTTTATAGTAAAGTTTGCAACTGCCTTTTCCTCTAGGTTTTCCACATATATAATTAAGCAAATTTTGAACCTTTCACTTTCTCTCCGTTAATATACAGATTATTTAGATACACTGTTTATATACAGATGAAGTTTGTGGGTATTATATATTTCCAAGTTAGATCACTAATATATCATTGTATTCTTTGTAGAATCCCATCACCATTTTTTTACTCATATGGATTTTTTTATTATACTTGCATTTGGCACTTTCCGTTGTTTTTCCAGTAATGCAGAGGATTTCCCCCCCCCCCCCAGTATTGCAGCTTATTTTCTCTGGATATATATATTCTGTCCCTCTGCTTTGGAGACTTTTCAAGTGGAGACCTACAACCTTCGATCTCCTATTGTCCTGCAGCAACAGTTCTTGTTATAGACTTATATCTTTCGTCTCCTCGTTCCCCTCTGCTCGGACGCCACTACCTCGTGGCTGCTTTTTGTCTGCTGGTCCGTCAGCACCCTAAACCCCGCCTCCTGGTGCCTGACCGTGTCACGTCATCACGTCCCAAGATAAAAACTTTTAAAGTAAGTTAACATCTGTTTGAAAATGAAACCATTTTTTCATGCAGGCTGTGTCAGTCACAGCCAGGGGAGGTGTGGCTAGGGCTGCATAAACAGAAACAAAAGTGATATAGCTCCTAAATGACAGATAATTGAGATAAACTGTTTTATTAAGCTAAAGTTGTTTTGGTGACTATCGTGTCCCTTTAACTATATTCATGCTGGCTTCTACATAAAAAAATATTCTTAGAACATAAGGCATCAGAAGTGTCTCCTCAATGAAGCTAAGATGGATATGCTACAAGCACACTAACTAGAACCCAGAGAAGAGATAGGCCACCTTTGGCACTCCAGAGATGTGGACTACATCTCCACTGATGGTTTGCCGCAGTAATTTGGCTGGAGTGCCAAATATTGCCTACCTCTGTTTTAGAGTATGTGGTTTTGGTGAAGAAGATAGAGAAAGATGGTGAGGGTTCATGTCAAGTTGTCCACTCAAACCGATGTGCTATAAGTATCCGCTCCCCACTGTGTACTTTACAGGCAAAGGATTTCATATAACTTCTTACAGTTTAGTGGGGAAACAGGATAGGTTGAAATGGAGGTACTGTTAACATCGATAGTGAATTAAAAGAAAAGGTCTGAATGAAACTGACAAGGATGGAACTTAGTGAATGGAATGAGATGAATGGAAGAAGATGAAATTAAAAAAAACAAGGTTTGATGGATATTAAATCAAGGTCGTTAAACAGGAAATCAAAGATTTGTTTAACATAAAAATTACTATTGAGATTAAATGCACAAGAAAATAAACATAAATCAATCTGAAAACGCTTTCATTTTAAATATATTAAATGTTTTGTAAAGCAGGATATTTTATATTTGCAGCATCCCCTTATAGCATCCCTAGCATTGATCAAGTTATTATTATTTTAAAAATAGAAGCATGAATGCAACCACAGAAAATCCTTGCAGCCGTTCAAACCCCGCTCATTACACATTGATGTGATTTATTCTTGGAGTTAAATCATCTGACGTGTATTAAGTTGTGTGGATCTTGTTTGGCAAAGAGAAAATCAGGTCACTTTCATCCTGAAGCCACTAGCCCCCGCTCGATCTATCAAAATGAATTGCGTCCCTGTTATGCAATATGCTTCAGACTTGGCTTAAGCACTAATTAATCAAATAACTCAATGGTTGTCCAACCAGAAGGCAGTGGGGAGACAGTGCTCAGAAGATATATCGTGCAGACCCCACCTGAAACAACACAGGGCACTTTTTGCCTTCCATCAGAGATTTAATAATGCCTAGTGTTCATCACTATGACAATTTGCCCTCCTTGTTAGCATCAGTGATCTAAGTAGAAATGTATCACATGAGCAATGGACACAAAGTTGTACTTTTATCAGGTGTTTGGAAGATATACCGCTATGTCGTGAAACAAAGACAAACAGTGTGTCCAAAGTGGAAGATATTACATCATGGCAGAAGTGGGAATGTCTTCAAATTCAGCTTTTCACACTGAAACACCTTGGAGGAGTAATTAAGACAGCTTTTTTAAATTTATTAAGTGTTCTTGCATAGCAAGACCACTTAATGTTATCTCACATATATATTATTATTATTATTATTATAGCAAAATTTGCCACCCTAACTCCTCCCACAGTTTTTACACTACATAGACAAAAATTTACCAAAACGTGCAGATTGTTCCCGATCGGATTGCTATTACTTTGTGGAACGTTTCGCCGAATGGTTCACGGAATATCGTCGTTCTTGTGGCGCAATTTGTCCCATAGGAATGAATGGCAAAGCTAGAGTGGGAGCTGGCAAAAGCTGAAAAATCAGGACATGATTTCTAAACTGCCACCACTCCCTTATTTTCAGGCCCACCTACACAAATCTTATATCAAAACGTTCAGCTATCCCTGCTGCCACTAAACATGTCAACGGCTAAGCCATAGTCCTGATAGTTTTCACAATATAATAATTTGTTTGAAACTAACGCCGTCCATTGACATTCATTGAAACTTCACTCTACAAAGCTCAAATTTGAAGTGCAATTTCTAAACTGCGACTGTGCCTTCATTTGTAATACTTCAGAGACATACTATGCATCAAAATGTAGGTCTGAGTCTTGTGATTCTCACAATATAAAGCTCTTTGCTGTAGGATTTATAGTTTTTAAAATACGACCGTTTGAAGATGGCAACCGCCAAAATACTCTGACCTGTGTCAAGGCTGCAGCAGCAAGTGATGTCATAGACAGGGCCTTTTGAACACCTGCTAATGTTTTTATAAATGTATGGTTTAATGTAACTGTGCAACAACGTTGCAATTAAATGTGCTATATAAATGATAACAGTTACTCCGCCCACTCCAGTTGTAGACTACTGGTGGAGGCAAGAACACTTCACACAATTTCCCCAGAAATTGTAGCTTTTCTAGTTATTATTATTATTATTATTATAGCAAAATTTGCCACCCTAACTCCTCCCACAGTTTTTACACTACATAGACAAAAATTTACCAAAACGTGCAGATTGTTCCCGATCGGATTGCTATTACTTTGTGGAACGTTTCGCCGAATGGTTCACGGAATATCGTCGTTTTTGTGGCGAATTTGTCCCATAGGAATGAATGGCAAAGCTAGAGTGGGAGCTGCCAAAAGCTGAAAAATCAGGACATGATTTCTAAACTGCCACCACTCCCTTATTTTCAGGCCCACCTACACAAATCTTATATCAAAACGTTCAGCTATCCCTGCTGCCACTAAACATGTCAACGGCTAAGCCGTAGTCCTGATAGTTTTCACAATATGACCATTTGTTTGCAACCAACGCCGTCCATTGACATTCATTGAAACTTCACTCTACAAAGCTCAAATTTGAAGTGCAATTTCTAAACTGCGACTGTGCCTTCATTTTTAATACTTCAGAGAAATACTATGCATCAAAATGTAGGTCTGGGTCTTGTGATTCTCACAATATAAAGCTCTTCGCTGTAGGATTTTATAGTTTTTAAAATACGACCGTTTGAAGATGGCAACCGCCAAAATACTCTGACCTGTGCCAGGCTGCAGCAGCAAGTGATGTCATAGACAGGGCCTTTTGAACACCTGCTAATGTTTTTATAAATGTATGGTTTAATGTAACTGTGCAACAACGTTGCAATTAAATGTGCTATGTAAATGATAACAGTTACTCCGCCCACTCCAGTTGTAGACTACAGGTGGAGGCAAGAACACTTCACACAATTTCCCCAGAAATTGTAACTTTTCTAGTTTTTTATTGTTTTTTACATAATTATTCCTATAAAATCAGTGCAGGAACATTCTATGCTCCATACAAAGGTAGACGGTCTGATTTATTACTAAATGATTCATAGCAATTATTGTCATTAGAAGTTATTTTAATGGCTCAGGAGATATAACTTGTATAAGCAACAGTACACGCATAGTACAATATATATATATATATCATATTTGCCAAAAACAATAACAAATTTGCAGAAATAATATCTGCCCTGTCTTTATCTGCTGAACTAATTGAAGATAATGACTCAAACATTTTTATAAGAATGCCTGTTTTCACCCTCCCTTACATACAACTCTGATGGGATCATATTGTATCCAACCTTTTCCTAAAGGCTTATACAACAACAACCTTGCCATCAATAAATACAAATGCTAGCTTTACTGCCCTCACTGTGAATACACATCCTAGCTTTACTGCCCTCCCTGTGAATAAATATTCTATATGTATTGCCCTCACTGTGAATACATATCTTCTTTACTGCCCTCACTGTGAATACATATCTTATCGTTACTGTCCTCAGGGATGTATTAGCCGTGAGGCAAACAAGGCATTTGCCTTGGGTGGCACTTTCCAGGGGGCGGCAAAAAAAGCCTCCCCCAAATGCCCAGGCAAATGTCTTGTTAGCCTGGCGGCTAACTAAAAATCTGGTCTGGGTGGGCGGCACTGGCAAGGGAGCACTGATTTGTGAGCTCTCTGCTCAGCTCCCTCACGCCACAGAGTGATGCCGGGAGCCGGAATATGATGTCAAAAAATCCGGTCTGGGCAGGCGGCACTGGCGAGGAAGCACTGATTTGTGAGCTCTCTGCTCAGCTCCCTCGCGCCGCAGAGTGATGCCGGGAGCCGGAATATGACATCATATTCTGGCTCCAGGTGACCAGCTGAGCAGAGAAATCACAAATCAATGCTCCCTCACCAGCTCCGCCCGCCCGCCCAGCAGCCCACTGGACCACAGGGAAAGGGAGAACCACCTCCCCCAGCATTCCCAAAGGTAAGGAGGCTGGGGGGATTGCATTTTTTTTAAATGTGAGTGTGTTTGTGTGTGTGTGTGTCTGTTAGTGAGTGTGTGTGTGTGTCTGTTAGTGAGTGTGTGTGTCTGTTAGTGAGTGAGTGTGTCTGTTAGTGTGTGTCTGTTAGTGAGTGTGTGTGTGTGTCTTAGTGAGTGTGTGTGTGTGTGTCTGTTAGTGTGTCTGTGTCTGTTAGTGAGTGAGTGTGTGTGTCTCTTAGTGTGTGTGTCTTTTAGTTTGTGTGTGTGTGTCTGTTAGTGAGAGAGTATGTGTGTCTGTCAGTGAATGTGTGTGTATTTAGAAGGAGGGGAAGGAGGGGTGGCGGAGGAAGGGGGAGCGGCGGGGCAGGGGCACCTGAGTTTTGTCATGTCTAGGGCAGCACAAAACCAGGATACACCACTGACTGTCCTCACTGTGTATACATATATTATCGTTACTGCCCTCACTCTGAATACATATCCTATCTTTACTGCCCTCATTATGAATACATATCCTATCGTTGCTGCCCGTGCTGTGAATACATGTCCTATATTTACTACCCTCACTGTGAATACATACCGTATTTTTACTGCCCTCACTGTGAATACACAACCTATATTTACTGCCCTCACTGTGAATACATATCCTAACTTTACTGCCCTCACTGTGACTACACATCCTATCTTTACTGCCCTCACTGTGAATACACATCCTATATTTACTGCCCTCACTGTGAATACATATCCTACATTTACAGCCCTTTCTGTGAATACATATCCTAACTTTACTGCCCTCACTGTGACTACACATCCTATCTTTACTGCCCTCACTGTGAATACATATCCTACATTTACTGCCCTTGCTGTGAATACATATCCTAACATTACTGCCCTCACTGTGAATACATATCCTATATTTACTGCCCTCACTGTGAATTCATATCCTGTGAAGTCTGTGATTGGACAGCCACATAAAGTCTGAGTGGGGTAAGGAGGAGAGGGCTTGTAAAGGCTGTAGATAAGCAACAGCAGATTTTGCAAGCGGTTTTTAAATATAACCCCACTTTTAGAATGTGCATTTAAATAGATGCTAGTTTTCATTTTGTGTATATCTACTAGTCATTTTATTTATTTTGCATTTAGGCAGTGGAGTGTCCTTTTAACTCCACTCAGTCCTAATGAATATTGCACATGTAAATTAATACATTTTGTGAATGAGTCAACGTGAAATGGTTTAACAATGTTCATACAAAAATTTAGAAAATATGTTATTTGCCCATGAATACAGTATATTATTAAATTAATACAATAAAAATGTTCCTTTTGACATCACTGTTAAAGGCCAATCTGCAGAATCTGTGGGGTAACACGTTAGCCAGATACTGTTTGAACTAGTTAACTATTTAGATTTGACCATCCGGGAGATATGTAAAACTAATGTATCAAAGCTTACACAACTGCAAGAAAGTTAACACCTGAATATTATCTATGTAAATCTAATTAGAACCAAGATAAAATAAGCTTAGCTAAATAGGAAAAATATTTTAGGCATTCGACCGACTCTTATGGCCCTACCTTTTCGAAGTACTTAGCAAATTCGGATTCCCGCCTGAACTTACCCAATTCCTACAAGCAATGTACCATAACCCAACCGCACAGCTACTAATTCCCAACATTCCCCCTCCCCATTCCCTATCCTAAACGGCATTCGCCAAGGATGTCCCCTTTCCCCACTCCTATTCGCCTTGTCCTTCGAACCCCTACTAGACACCATAAGAAACAACCCGCAAATTGAGGGACTCCACATCAGAGACGAAACATACACAATCGCAGCATATGCAGATGATGTTCTCTTGACCCTGACTAACCCCGACTCAGCCCTTCTGTCAACTTTACAGGAATATTCAACAATCTCGGGTTACCAACTTATCGCCACCAAATCAGACCTACTGCCCCTCAAACTTACCGAAGCCACTCTTAACGCCCTGAAACGCAAGTTTCCTTTCCGCATCTGCCCAACGACAATCACCTACCTTGGCATTCAACTCACCAATGACACCAACACCCTATACACTACTAACTATCTCCCCCTCTTCCGTAAAGCACACGCAGACCTTCAGCGTTGGAAACCCATGAACATATCATGGGTGGGGAGAATAGCCTCTGTAAAAATTAATCTCCTACCCAAATTCCTATATGCTTTCCAAGCACTACCCATCCCATGTAAGAAGACCGACCTCAAACTCTTACAAACGGCAAAAGACCACTTTATCTGGAATGGACTTAAACCCTTAATCCGCCAATCTAATCTGTATGTCCCCAAACCTTCAGGAGGATTAGGCCTTCCCAACCTCACACACTACCAACAAGCAGCGCACCTAGCGCAAATCCAACACTGGCACCTCTCCCCAACCCACAAGCGGTGGGTAGATCTTGAACACCTCATCTTCAGACGAGACCACCCCTCACAATATATGTGGCTCCAAAAACAACACAGACCACTGCCACCCGCCACCTCCCCAGCAATCACCTAGTCGCTGGACCTCTGGGACCGACTCAGCGACAAATTCGACCTGTACACAGGCTTATCACCCCTCACCCCAATTCTCCGCAACAAAATGTTCCCACCAGGCTTAACTCCACAACATTACGCTCACTTTGAAGAGAAGGAGATAGCCAGACTGGGACACCTCTATCCCAATGGCAAACTTTTGCAACATACAGACATTCCTAACGATGACTCCTTAACTACATTCAACCACTTCAGATTCCTACAACTCCACAGCTTCGCAGCAACAGACGCTATCCGATTAGCAGCCATCAGCCCTAACCGAATTCGAGTGGGACAACCTCCGCTCACCACCTGAAAGAGCCAAATATCTGACCTGTATATAACATTGACAACCCACCACTCCCAGGTAGCACTACCGTACATCTCAGCATGGGAAAGGGACATGGGAACCCCAGAGGACCCCACAGACTGGGCTGACATCTGGATGGCCACCAAATCAATCTCAAGCTGCATTACCCACAAGGAACAAGCCTATAAAATGCTTTTCCGGTGGTACCTCACACCCCAATGCCTTATGGCGATGAAACGTATTCCCTCAAACCTCTGCTGGAAACTGTGCGGTGAAACCGGCACATTTCTCCGCTGCTGGTGGACCTGCCCCAAACTCATCCCCCTGTGGAAATCCATAATAAACCTCTTAACCAGAATACTCAACAGACCAGTACCCCTAGACCCCTGGGCTCTCCTACTCTCAAAACCCATCGACCCTTTCACCCGCAACGAAAATAAACTCATAGCTAGAATAGCCTTGGCCAGCCGCAGAGTTTGGTCAACCGCACACACACCGACTCAAAATCAAATTTACCATAAAATAACAGATAGCATAGACATGGACAAACTAAAAGCACAAATACATGATACCCCAAACTCATTTCATAAAATATGGGACTCATGGCTAGAGGGCCACACCACCATCCCGTGGTGAAACCACAACAACCCAAGAGCCACACCTCCACCATCAAGTTAGAGCTCACCACAACAACGACAACCACATGCTACACCCCCCAGCCCAAACCACCCTCGTCCCCAATCCCTTCCTCCCCCTCCTCGTATTATTGAAACAAAACAGGACAGGCTCTGCCAACTCAAACTAACCCAACAATCCCACCCAAGGCGGTTGCACCTCCACTGAACAATCGCCCACAACACACCCCCTAATTACCCCTCTGGCACAACTGACCCACAAACTATACCACAGACTGCCACCAATGATTAAGCAAAACTGACTTAGTACCCAACCCAGGGCATGGCGCCCCAGTTAGATCCACCCCCCCCTTAAGGGGGCCGGCAATAAATGACGCTAACACCTATGCCGACCACGGGATCTTCAACCAAAGTCGGACCACGACTAAATGGTATAGACATGAGAACAATTCATGAATGAAATGTGCCAAATTTTCACAACCCAATGTTTTACCACACCGTTATTATTTTACTAACAAACCTTTCTTTCTGTAAAACTGTTTTACCTTGAAAAACGAAAAAGAAGTAAAAGGTGAAGTAAAATACAATGTGATATTTTTTTTAAATTAAGAAAAAGTGGCAAGTGTATTCATAATTTTGCACCATGAACGTGCAAATATTGTATTGTTTATAAAGAGTATTTGATTCTCCTCTTCCAATCTGTCAGATATAACTGTACAGTAACATTTCTCACTTTAACAAATAATGATTTATTTTTTTTAACACATTTAGGTTTAGGAATCATAGAGAAAAAAGCTTTGCAAATGGTCCTGTAGGTTATAGATGATGATAGATCATTTGTTTTCTAAGCCTTCTTTATGACTTATGAGTGTTAGAGGCCCGTCTTCTAGAATATAGCCTAAGCCACCTGGCACTGACATCGACACCAGCTAGTCATAAATTAAATAAATGATTGCATGTATAGAAATTAAGAACACTATTATGCCACTGAAAGATGCACCTGGTCCATTGATTAGTAATTATAAGAATATACCACAATCAATAGCATCTTGTTTACTTTTTCATTTGTTCTGTTGAGTCCCGATGTTGAGTTGTTTTGTGTTTATCTGACATTGCTTGGATTATTCGAAGAAGACAATACCATTGTTTTTTTTTTCACCAAACAAACAAATACTTCCATTTAAATGTATCTATATATCTACATACCTCCTTTCTTTTCTTCCACTTGACTACTATCTGCTGTCTCCTGCTTGGGTTGGTCTTTTGACGGGGCAGCTTCCTGGGTACTAGCAGGCACATCGGCTTGTTTGGATTCATCCTTTGCTTTGTTTGCATCGTTGCCCGAGGAATTCTCCGTATTATCTTTTGTTGTACTCTCTGTCTCCACTGAGGCATTTTTCTCTTCCGAAGGGGTTTTCTGGGACGTATCTGTGTTTTTGGCAGCCTCCTTTTTATCTTCAGAACTTTCAACTTTTTTCTTGTTGTCTTCAGACAAAGGCCCATCACTGGACGGTTCCTCTATTTTAGGAGCTTCATTCTCTGTTTTGCCCACATCTTTCTTGGCATCTTCTTTATGGTTCTCTACAGCCTCTCCAGGGTTCTCATCTCCCTTCTTGTCTCCCTTCAGTTTTTTCCTGATTATATGTCCACGGAAGCTAGCCTGGATTTTAGTGGCTGCCTTGTGGGCTTTATCCTCTGGCTTGTTTGCATCTTGTTCAATTTTTTGATCGCCATCCTCATTTTGCTCCACCTTAAAAAAAGAAGAAACATTGCATTTTTATAAGGTCTACATTGTTTCCAGAGTTGGCTCTAATTTAAGAAAAATCGATGTCTAAAGCTTAAATCATAACAGTTAGATTCAGTAGAGAACACATTGAATTGACTCAACCAATTAAGCATTTATTTTGCTATAAAAAATAAATTTGATCTCAAAGCCAAGTATAGTTTTTTTTGTTTTGTTTTTTTTTATGAACATTGAACTTAATTTAATTCACTATCTAACATTTATTCCAGGATCTTCTACATTCTTGTACTTTGCAGCCATTTAAACTGTATAAATGGTACAACTTAATCAAACAAAATGAATAGGCTGTGATAACTTGAGCAACTTTACATAATCCTGCTCTCAAGTGGCATTCAACATTTCATCAGAGAAACGTTATCTCCACATTACATTTGCAAATCATCCATACATTTGTCATGCACAGCCAGATCTAGATTTAGAAGATTGCATCCTCAATGCTCATAGTAGATGATTAAAATAGAACCATGCAGTTCCAGTTAAACATTGAGTGTTCTATTCAGTTCCATTTGGGAGTTATGTAAAACTGACATTTGAAATTCCAATAGAGACATCTGCAATCTCTCTGTAAAAACTGTTGACCAGTCCGTTACTGTTTTCTTCCATTTTTTTGAGGTAGAAATTGACAGGTTTTTGTCTAGATAAGGAGACAAACGCCCAATAAAATGTGATAGACTAACAGAACCTAAAACATTTCACACAGACAGACACTGAAAGAAAAAACATAAAACACATACACTTGGTAAAGAGTGATACAGACACACACACACTCCCACAGGTATATAGAGCTACGGAGAGACAGAGACTGCTCAAATCATTGACAAGTAACTCAATGTTCAGAATTCTGACTGTCAGTGACACAATATCACTTTAAAAATGCCATGCTACTAAATAGTGCAGATTTAAATAAACCCACACATTTTACAATCTTCAAAACAATGTGGATGCTATACTGCACCGTACAACAAACTGGCTTGAAATATTAAGTGCGTCTTGCCATTTAAAGATGCCTGTATACAAATCTTCAGCGGTTCGTTTAGCAGAGAAACGAGGCAGTTTGTCACATTTGTTGGTGTAATCTTTGGCCTGCAAGTATATTTCATTTAATTCAATAAATCTTATACGTTCAATCCAATAAAGGATTAAGTTTAGTGTGACAGACATTCTAGGAAAAAGTTAATTCATAATGGAAATCTAAAAAGGTAGTGAAAAAGGGGGGGTGAATATCTATATAGCACTTTTATTTCTAATACATTTAAATATTCAGCCAGAAGTGAGAAAATACCATGTGTTATTAATATATTGTATGGTTCAGTATATTTCGCATAATAAAATCCAGACTCTAAAGACTAAAGGGAACATTCTGCTTTTTATTGATGGGACACTCTATGCACCAAAACAACTTTAGCCTAATGAAGTGATTTAGGTATATAGATCACACCCCTGCAGTCTCGTTGCTCAGTTCTCTGCCGTTCGGAAAATTGTACTCAAAACTGTGTTAGCTTGCTAATGTAGCTTTGTTGCCTAGAGTGTCTCTTTTATTCAATGACAATTCCTCCCATTCTACCTAGTCCACATATATATATATGTCTAGAATGAATCTAGAATAACACCTTCACTACTCCACAATGTGACAAAAAAACCTTCTCACCAAAAGCTGAAAAAAAAATGTTCACATTTAGTTTTCATTTCAATATCGATAAATTGCACTTTATAATGTATTTATTTTTGCCATTGTTTCTATTATTTGCAAATTATTTGGAATTTGTTGATTCTTCTTTAAAGAAAAAAACATTTAATGAAATTTGTGACGGAACGTCGTCACTGAGTGCCATACCCATAATAATAATATGCCTCCATCCACTCAGATCTGCTGTCAGCAGAGCACAGGGCAGCACTGTGCACAGTATCCTGTGTGATTCAGTATCTCCTCCCTCTGAATGCAGACACTGAACTTTCCTCATAGAGATTCATTGATTCAATTAATCTCTATGAGGAGATGCTGATTGGCCAGGGCTGTGTTTGAATTGTGCTGGCTCTGCCCCTGATCTGCCTCTTTGTCAGTCTCAGCCAATCCTATGGGGAAGTATTGTGATTGGATCAGGCTACCACTTCTGCTGATGTCAGCAGACAGCTTGTTTTTCTGAGTCTAAAAGCATGCAGAGTTACAGCTTCAGGCTTGAATACAGTAAGATTTTTACTATATTTATGGAGGCATGAGGGGCCCAGGGGGGCTAGATGGTCGTGCTGACACTATAGAGTTTTAAGCTAACGGTCGCAGAACTAAGATAATACTATTTAGCATTGTAAATAACCTATTTTTTATATTTTTTCTCAGAGGTTTCATGGAATTGCATTTTATGTAACTGCAGCAAAAAAAAATCTTAAGATGTGAAGACTGGAAACAACATTTAGAAAGAATGGGGGAAAAGTATTAAAATGCTGATTTGCAAAATTGTTCCCATAGCTTTTTTCCAGACAGATACCGCAGCATTTAATCTCTTTTTTAAAAGGAATGATCACTGAATTCAGAGTTGAAAAATAAAACTACCTTTGAGTCAGACTTTACGTGTGGATTTTTATAACATTTTTAGTTGAGCTACAAATAGTTAAAGATAAACTGTTATTTTAACAGCTTCTTTGCTTAATGCTGGGAAAAAAATATAATTTCAAGAAGGCTTCCATACCTCCAAAGTGCCCTTGTTTAGGAAGACAGTCTCTATTTTGGGTCCACATTCCTCTACCATAAAGTTAACTAAAATGTCTAAAAATGGGTCTTCCAGGCTCCTGTATTAGCCATATCCCCTAAAATAAAAGAGTTATTTCTGTGCCATTTAATGTTATTAAACTAATATGCATGCTATCCCCATTATGATGTTCACATGTATGATTACAGCATTGGAATGGTTAATTTGGCTTCTACATAAATCTGCCATTTCTCAGATCTCAGGAAACAGTTTGCAAATTAGCTTCCTTCCTCTTAAAGGACCACTATAGTGCCAGGAAAACATACTCGTTTTCCTGGCACTATAGTGCCCTGAGGGTGCCCCCACCCTCAGGGTCCCCCTCCCGCCCGGCTCTGGAAAGGGGAAAAGGGGTAAAACTTATCTTTTTCCAGCGCTGGGCGGGGAGCTCTCTGCCTCCAATCCTCCTCCGTTCCTCCCCGTCGGCTGAATGCACACGCGCGGCAAGAGCTGCGCGCGCATTTAGCCGGTCGCATAGGAAAGCATTATTTTCACAGTGAGAATCACGCAAGCGCCTCTAGCGGCTGTCAATGAGACAGCCACTAGAGGATTTGGGGGAAGGCTTAACCCATTCATAAACATAGCAGTTTCTCTGAAACTGCTATGCTTATAAAAAAAATTGGTTAACCCTAGCTGGACCTGGCACCCAGACCACTTCATTAAGCTGAAGTGGTCTGGGTGCCTAGAGTGGTCCTTTAAGCCAAACATCCAGTTGTGTCCTTCTCGTGTTTTTTTTTCCCTAGACCTCTTGTCTGCCCACCTTTTGGTTGTTCTGCTCAGCAGACCTTGGGCCCTGTTGATATGCAAACTGACAAAAGTCAGGAACCAGAATAAAAAAACCCATTAAAAATAACCCAGAGATAGATACTTTGAGGGTTTCAAAAATTGATGTGGTATGATAATCACCTATTTATAAATTGCCTTGGTAGTGGAAGCTTTTGATACTAGAGATAAACGTGGGCAGCGTGAAGAGGTTTTTTTTTTTTTAATCATTATTTTGGTTTTAGTGCAGACAAATAATAATTTTTAACTCTCTCCCCCACTGAAGGAAGTCACATACCTGCTTACAGTAGATGCCTATGACATTTCCATGTACGCTGCGTAACTGGATTTATTTATTTGGGGTGGACACATCCTATAGATGACCTTAACTTTCAGCTTTGGGATGTAATTAAATCTCAGATGGAACAGTTGCTCTTCAAAAGAAAAAAAAGATATCACAAGACAAATAAATGTATCACCTTTACTCAGCTGCCTTGTGTGGTTGTAAAATACAGAGTTTACCTGTCCTTATAGTCACTCATTGCCTTTAGCACTTTTAGAGAGCCTGGCTTATCTTTTATTAACTGCTTCTACAAATGCAAGAAAAAAATTAGGCAATATATATTATTTTATATTTGGCTCACAAAAAAAAAAAAAGATTAAAAAAAAAATCATTGTAATTGGTCTATATTTTGAATTGTAAAAGTAATTTTACATTTATAAAAAATAAATACAAATTGATTGTTTAACCGTATGATACGCATCACAGCTGCAGCTTAATTCGTTCTGCTTGTAAAGTGAGCTTGTATCTGGAGATTTGCTTTGACAATGTTCTGTTCCAAAGATGATAAGGCACAGGACTCTTGGCGTCTGTCTCAGGATCCCTGCCAGGTATTTGGCTCCTAGCCGGTTGTTCCAGATTTTAAAACTCTGCGATTAAGCACTTTGAAGCCTAAGGGTTTTTAAGAATGTTCTATGATGAGATAATATATTTATCAGAAGGAGTGTACAGAACTACTTTTACATCTCTTGTTAACCTGCATGCAAGTTCTATAAATGTGCAACACTGGCTATGGCAGAGTAAGGTTAACTTTTCTCTTCATTAACCTCCTCTAACTGTGCTAACTATACCATTAAAATCACACTGCTGTAAGCAAATCCATATTCCATATTCCATATTCTCCATTACACAATTAAGATTAAGTATGATATGTCTGACTCCATTTAATAATATGTATACAGAAGGGTATTGTACATTGAGAAAAGGGTTACTCTATACCAAAACATTGTTTTATTTGTAGATCCTTAAAGGAGCACTATAGGGTCAGAAACACAAACATGTATTCCTGACCCAATAGGGTTAAAACCACCATCTAGCCACCCTGGTCCCCTCATGCCTCCCTACATATAGATATGTAGATATACAATCTTACTTGTATTCAAGTCTGCATCTGCTTATTTTGTCCCTGTTTCCTTTAGACCTGCCCACTGCCTGCTGACATAATCAGAAGTGGTAGCCTGATCCAATCACAATGCTTCCCCGTAGGATTGGCTGAGACTGACAAAGAGGCAGATCAGGGGCAGAGCCAGCATGATTCAAACACAGCCCTGGCCAATCAGCATCTCCTCATAGAGATGAATTGAATCAATGAATCTCTATTAGGAAAGTTCAGTGTCTGCATGCAGAGGGAGGAGACACTGAATGTTTGGATGCATTTTAGGCAGCCATGACCCAGGAAGGATCTCTAACAGCCATCTGAGGAGTGGCCAGTGAAGTTATCACTAGGCTGTAATGTAAACACTGCATTTTCTCTGAAAAGACAGTGTTTACAGCAAAAAGCCTGAAGGTCATGATTCTACTCACCAGAACAAATTCAATAAGCTGTAGTTGTTCTGGTGACTATAGTGTCCCTTTAATTAAAATGGTAGCACTGAGGGGCACATACCATTATGGATTGCGTTTATTATGTTTTGGATTATCTGTATATATATTTATCACTGAAAGGGTTTTAGAGCTAGCTGCACAGAAGTGAATTATTTCTTACTGTTTTTCTAAATTGTATTTATTTTATTGTGATACTGTAGTATCCTAACGTCTGTTGTTGTTTTTTTTTATTTTTACTAATATAATGTAATTACACTCATAAAAATGAAAAGGTAAAACATTAAGCAGATCAAAACTCCATCAAGACTGTCCCATCCCTCCCTGTCATCCAAGTCAAATTGGAGGTTGCCAGCGAAGCAATCGTGCAGAATACCAGCTAGTGGACCAAAACATTTGTCGAATAAGTGCTATACATTTTCTTTTTATGAATCATAGTCTTCCTTAAAAAAAAAATTATAGGATCTGCATTATTACATTATCATTACCAATTTAGAAGAAGTTGGCAAACAAACTGGCTTCTCAAAGAATTTCAGGGGTCCGAATTGTTATCAATATTTATATTGGAACTGAATTGCAAAATCTATTATTGCTAGACCATTATAGTCTTTGGGAACTAGTTTGTGAACAATTAACTAGCTGGCACAGAGAAAGTACAAAAGAAACATAGTGAAGGGTCACAAATAGCTGGGTACTTGTCCTATTCCACCACTGTGGTGTGGGGAGTAGATACAAATCCTAACAAGAGGCTGAGATACCCAACACAGTCCCTTAGTGAGGGATGAACAGAATGCTCTTAAGGGTATTTTTGCTAAAGACCCCTGGTTAATGATGAAGGCTATGTGTAATATTCATGAAGTTTGTATATAAAATGCCAGTTTTGGAAAACCCCACGTTTGGTTGAGCTTGTCCCTGAAGACTGTCAAATATGTCTGCCTGGAGGTACACAGGCAAGTTAGAACCTTGTGTGGCTCATGATTAAATTAGTGAATTGTTGATTTAATCCTCTTTTAAACTGTGAATTCTCTAGGAGCAGAAATACTTAGAAACCATAAAATTTAATAAATGCTAATTTAAAAATTGGCAGAACCCACCATTAGTGATACTAAGCCATCTGCAGAAACAGTTTTAGCTTCTCCTGACTTTCCTTTCGAGCGGTAACATTGTCTGATTAACTCTTTTGGCATTATCTAATTTCTTGTCATTTTTTTTAAACGGTGATGGACCTATTAGGTGGTTATAGTTTTGGTATAGTTTTAGTTATATATTAATATATAACTGGAAGCTGAATTTTTTTCTCACAGATATGCATTAATTCAATGCATCTCTATGAAGAGATGCTGATTGGCCAAGCCAGAATTTGTCCCCGCCACCTCCATGACGATTTCAGCTAATCCAATGCTTTCCCTATGGAAAAGCATTGTATTGGCTAAAAATCATAAATTCTGTTGATGTCAGCAAGGAGGCAGTTAAAGGGACACTGTGGTCACTATAACGACTTTGTCTCTTTGAATTGGTTATAGTGCCTGGAGTGCCCTGGCACTGTCCCTCCATTCAGTGTTGCACCACGTTTGTGCAGTATGCCACAAAATAAGAGTCACTGGCCACCCACAGTCTGGCCCCTTCTGTATGTGTAGCTAAGGAAGAGATTACATACTTCCTTGTTGTCATACCCATTCATACCGTCAGTTGGAGCTCTGACAGGTTAAAAGCAGTCAGCTGACACTCTCAGCCAATCACAGCTGCCCATTGCTGCTCAGGGTAATACTTCCTTATTAGCCAAAGCAGCACAGAGGGGATGGACTGCTGTGGTCTCTTGTTTAGTATTAAAACATTACAACATTAAAAACTGTTTAATGCTGAAAGAAATGATGGCACCAGGGTACTCCATACACTATAACCAGTTTAATGTGATGAAGCAGATACAGTGCCTACAGTGTCCCTTTAATGAATCATTTTAAAAAAATGGGTAGGGCCAAATAATGGCCCCAACCCTTATGTCACCCCTAGTTTTGCTTTGGGTTGAAGGGTAACACTAAATATGGTGAACAACAAAACCGACTGTTTTCAACCAGTATGTCGTGGCACTGGAGTGCCTCACACTATCTCAAAATGCTTCACATGAAAAATTCACCATGACGTATGTGACGATTGTCATTATCACCTGGAGCTTAAGATGAACAATCCAATTAGGTTTCTGAATGACTTTTATGTTTAAGTCACTCTGTGACCATTGTGGGTGCAGGGTGTGTGTAATGTGATTGGTTGTGGTGAAATGATAATGTGCTCTCCTGTCTTGCTAATGCTTGCAATCAACTAGGTGCATTTGACTGGAAAGCCGGTACAGCACCACCTGTTGGTTGCAAGGACCTAGCAACAGCTAAATGCATTACCTGAATAGCAAGGCTTGCTAACTTGCTTATTCAGTTAATTTGCATATTGCTAATTCTGCATTTATAAGAGATATTTGTGTTACATATTGTCTTCCCCACCCCTTTATGAATATGTTATGTTATTATAATTCCCTGTATGTTGTCTGATGTAACTTAATTGTTTGTATTTTATTAAAGATGTCACAGCAATCTAAGAGTAACGCGTTAAAGTATTGCATGTTAGTTCCTTTAGGAGCTGTGTCCTGTGTGGATTTGTAGGGATCCCATTAACAGAGTCTTTTGACCTGTTGGTTGGTTGCACAATCACTATAGCCCTGGGATTAACCAAGAACTAGGCATGAGGGTTCAAAAGTGCCTTTGTAAAGGCAATTAAAATCACTGCAGTGGAATATGCCAAGGGGACGATGCATGACTGGAAAAAGGGCTACAGCGGAATGGGCAGAGAGGATGATACCTGCCTGGAAGGAGTGCTGCAGCCTGGTCGGGTGGAAGAGCTCCAGAAAGACCCCAGCCAAGTTACAGCGATACTTAGTAGGGATACTTCTAGTATCGGGATATAATGGAGGGAGAAAGGATACCTGATATATGGGGATATAATGGAAGGAGAGGAATACCTGTAGTATGGTGATATAATGGAAGGAGAGGGATTCCTGTAGTATGGTGATATAATGGAAGGAGAGGGATTCCTGTAGTATGGTGATATAATGGAAGGAGAGGGATTCCTGTAGTATTGGGATATAATGGAAGGAGAGAGATACCTGTAGTATGGTGATATAATGGAAGGAGAGGGGTACCTGTAGTACAGGGATATAATGGAGGGAGCAGGGATACCTGTAGTATGGGGATATAATGGAGGGAGCAGGGATTCCTGTAGTATGGAGATATAATGAATGGAGCAGAAATACCTGTAGTATGGGGATGTAAACAGGGAGCAGGGATACTAGAGTATTGGGAAACAATGAAGGAGCAGGGATAGCTGTAGTATGGTGATATAATGGAAGGAGAGAGATACCTGTAGTATGGGGATATAATGGAAGGAACAGGGATACCTGTAGTACGGGGATATAATTGAGGGAGCAGGGATACCTGTAGTATGGGGATATAATGGAGGGAGCAGGGATACATGTAGTATGGGGATATAATGGAGGGAGCAGGGATACCTGTAGTATTGGGATACAATGAAGGAGCAGGGATACCTGTAGTATGGAGATATAATGAATGGAGCAGAAATACCTGTAGTATGGGGATGTAAACAGGGAGCAGGGATACTAGAGTATTGGGAAACAATGAAGGAGCAGGGATAGCTGTAGTATGGTGATATAATGGAAGGAGAGAGATACCTGTAGTATGGGGATATAATGGAAGGAACAGGGATACCTGTAGTACGGGGATATAATGGAGGGAGCAGGGATACCTGTAGTATGGGGATATAATGGAGGGAGCAGGGATACCTGTAGTACGGGGATATAATTGAGGGAGCAGGGATACCTGTAGTATGGGGATATAATTGAGGGAGCAGGGATACCTGTAGTATGGGGATATAATGGAGGGAGCAGGGATACCTGTAGTATGGGGATATAATGCAGGGAGCAGGGATACCTGTAGTACGGGGATATAATTGAGGGAGCAGGGATACCTGTAGTATGGGGATATAATTGAGGGAACAGGGATACCTGTAGTATGGGGATATAATGGAGGGAGCAGGGATACCTGTAGTATGGGAATATAATGGAAGGAGCAGAGATACCTGTAGTATGGTGATATAATGGAAGGAGCAGGGATACCTGTAGTATGGGGATATAATTGAGGGAGCAGGGATACCTGTAGTATGGGGATATAATGGAAGGAACAGGGATATCTGTAGTATGGGGATATAATGGAGGGAGACGGATACCTGTAGTATGGGGATATAATTGAGGGAGCAGGGATACCTGTAGTATTGGGATATAATGGAGGGAGAGGGATACCTGTAGTATGGGGATATAATTGAGGGAGCAGGGATACCTGTAGTATGGGGATATAATTGGAAGGAGATGGATACCTGTAGTATGGGGATATAATTGAGGGAGCAGGGATATCTGTAGTATGGGGATATAATTGAGGGAGCAGAGATACCTGTAGTATGGGGATATAATTGAGGGAGCAGGGATACCTCTAGTATGGGGATATAATTGAGGGAGCAGGGATACCTGTAGTATGGGGATATAATTGGAAGGAGATGGATACCTTTAGTATGGGAATAGAATTGAGAGAGCAGGGATTCCTGTAGTATGGGAATAGAATTGAGAGAGCATGGATTCCTGTAGTATGTGAATAGAATTGAGAGAGCAGGGATTCCTGTAGTATGGGGATTTAATTGGAAGGAGAGGGATACCTTTAGTATGGGAATAGAATTGAGAGAGCAGGGATTCCTGTAGAATGGGGATATAATTGGAAGGAGATGGATACCTGTAGTATGGGGATATAATTGAGGGAGCAGGGATACCTGTAGTATGAGGATATAATTAATGGAGATGGAGATGGATACCTGTAGTATGGGGATATAATGGAATGATTAGGGATACCTGTAGTATGGGGATATAATGGAAGGAGCAGGGATACCTGTAGTATGGGGATATAATGGAGTGATTAGGGATACCTGTAGTATGGGGATTTAATTGGAAGGAGTATTAGAATATAATGGAGGGAGCAGGAATACCTGTACGGTGTCTGTAGATTATCTTCTTTGTTTCTATCCAATGTGAGTTTTAACAGACTGCTTTGCGAAACTAAACATCAATAGAGACATTTTAACCCCTCAAGGACTGAGCCAAATGTACACGTTGTGATCAAAACAAAACGTAAACAAAAACTTTAATTTGCGCTATATGTCTGTTCAGGCGTAATTTGCCTCTTTCATATTATGTGCACCCACACTTATTATATATCATTTTATTTAGGGGAATATGCTGTACGCTTCCCATGGAGATGCTGACTGGCCGCACAGCTTTTTGCCACACATGCACAATAGCCTCCCAATGCTTTCCTACTGGAAAGCATTGGATTGGTTGAGATCATCAAGTTTGATGATCTCAGCCAAAGTGAAGAACACACTCATAGAAAGTAACTCAAGATAACGTAATTTGTTTTTTACAGCTGTGCAACAGCATACATTCACCTATAAAATCCCATTACCAAACTTTTCTTAATATGTCAAGGTAGCCTGACCGAAACATCAGTTAAATGCAAATGCACATCCAGTGTTAGGCTTTTTTAATACTGTACTTTCCTAAATAAACCTACGTTTCTATGAAAACTGATTTTTTTTTTCTGTGGCCCACATAAACGTAAACCTTGTTTATTTGGCCCATGTTAGCCTTTGCGTTTGACATGCTTGCTCTAACTCATCTACTCATACAGGGGGAAACACTATTCTCCGCAACCATCTCTGTACTGCCTCTAATCTCTCAAACGTTCCATTTTCGCTTTCTGAGGGCACACAAAAAGGGTTGGAGTAACCCTTTAACAAAAGAAGACATAATCAGCAATGTTATGCTCAGCATTGCTGACTGTTTATTTGTAAGTATAGTGCGACATTTACTAAAAAAAAGATTTGATTTTCTCTGTCAGCGGGCGATGGATATGTAGCAGTATTTTGCAATGTAAACTTTGTATTTGTGTGATGTGCCTCTCAGTGTCAGTGCATGCTGTTTTCACATCGAGACACATGCTATTTGGGAATATTAAAGGAAATTTCACAGGATGTACATAAAACTGTGGTCAATCAGCTGTCATAAAGTAGATCTTCTGTGTCTTTCCCATGAAAAAAAACTTTTCCAGACAGAGAAATCTTAAAGAAAAACAAATGTCTAATGGTTTAATGTGAAACGATTTTCCACACCGGAAAATTGAAATAAAACTCCAGCTCTGTGTTATGGCAGATTTAGCAAAGCAGTGGGTCATAGTGGATATGTGAAATTTGAGCTGAGCATTGTTTAATATAAATAAAAACATGTCTTAGTATAATAATGGCTAAAATGTAATTCAGGTGCAGAGAACCCGACTACCAGGAAAACAATGTAGTAAGTGATCACCATGAATTAACCCAGTGACTACAAGGAATACAATTTAGTAAGTGATCACCATGAATGAACCCAGTGACTACCAGGAATACAATGTAGTAAGTGATCACCATGAATGAACCCAGTGACTACCAGGAATACAATGTAGTAAGTGATCACCATGAATGAACCCAGTGACTACCAGGAATACAATGTAGTAAGTTATCACCATGAATTAACCCAGTGACTACAAGGAATACAATGTAGTAAGTGATCACCATGAATTATCCCAGTGACTACAAGGAATACAATGTAGTAAGTGATCACCATGAATTAACCCAGTGACTACCAGGAATACAATGTAGTAAGTGATCACCATGAATGAACCCAGTGACTACCAGGAATACAATGTAGTAAGTGATCACCATGAATTAACCCAGTGACTACCAGGAATACAATGTAGTAAGTGATCACCATGAATGAACCCAGTGACTACCAGGAATACAATGTAGTAAGTTATCACCATGAATTAACCCAGTGACTACAAGGAATACAATGTAGTAAGTGATCACCATGAATTAACCCAGTGACTACCAGGAATACAATGTAGTAAGTGATCACCATTAATTAACCCAGTGACTACAAGGAATACATTGTAGTAAGTGATCACCATGAATTAACCCAGTGACTACCAGGAATACAATGTAGTAAGTGATCACCATGAATTAACCCAGTGACTACAAGGAATACAGTGTAGCAAGTGATGATCACCATGAATTAACCCAGTGACTACATGGAATACAATGTAGTAAGTGATCAACATGAATTAACCCACGTGACTACCAGGAATACAGTGTAGTAAGTGATTACCATGAATTAACCCAGTGACTAGAAGGAATACCATTTAGTAAGTGATCACCATGAATTAACCCAGTGACTACAAGGAATACAGTGTAGTAAGTGATTACGATGAATTAACCAGTGACTACAAGGAATACAATGTAGTAAGTGATCACCATGAATTAACGCAGTAACTACCAGGAATACAGTGTAGCAAGTGAGCACCATGAATTAACCCAGTGACTACCAGGAATACAGTGTAGCAAGTGATCACCATAAATTATCCCAGTGACTACAAAGAATATAATGTAGCATGTGATCACCATGAATTAACCCAGTGGCTACCAGGAATACAATGTAATAAGTGATCGCTATGAATGAACCCAGTGACTACCAGGAATTCAATGTAGAAAGTAATCGCCATGAATGAACCCAGTGACTACCAGGAATACAATGTAGTAAGTGATTGCCATAAATTAACCCAGTGACTACCAGGAATACAATGTAGTAAGTGATCATCATGAATGAACCAGTGACTACCAGGAAAACAATGTAGCAAGTGATCACCATGAATTAACCCACTGACTATCAGGAATACAATGTAGTAAGTGATCACCATGAATTAACCCAGTGACTACAAGGAATACAATTTAGTAAGTGATCACCATGAATTAACCCAGTGACTACCAGGAATACAATGTAGTAAGTGATCACCATGAATTAACCCAGTGACTACCAGGAATACAATGTAGTAAGTGATCACCATGAATTAATCCAGTGACTACCAAGAATACAATGTAGTAAGTGATCACCATGAATTAATCCAGTGACTACCAGGAATACAATGTAGTAAGTGATCACCATGAATTAACCCAGTGACTACCAGGAATACAATGTAGTAAGTGATCACCATGAATTAACTCAGTGACTACCAGGAAAACAATGTAGTAAGTGATCACCATGAATTAACCCAGTGACTACAAGGAATACAATTTAGTAAGTGATCACCATGAATTAACCCAGTGACTACCAGGAATACAATGTAGTAAGTGATCACCATGAATTAACCCAGTGACTACCAGGAATACAATGTAGCAAGTGATCACCATGAATTAACCCCATAAATGGAAGAGAAAATAGCAAGCAAATTCTATGTATTTACTCATTAATGACGGGAGAAAAATGTGAGACTCTGGGAATTGCTTCAAGTATTAGGAACAAAACATGCGAGACTCAAGAAACCTCTATGGGGTATGCTTTAACAATCAGGGAAGATTGGAATACTGTCATTTCAGGAAGAGACCAAAGAGAGGTGTCTAGAAATTATAACAGACAGGGAGTAAGTAAAGAAAAAGGTTATATGCATGAGCAATAAACATTGAGTGGGGTTATAAATGGGGATTACAGCAAAAAGGAGATATTTAAATGGGAAACGATACTGGGAGAGATATTAAAGTGGGAGATAGACTAAAAAGAGACTGGAAGAAGAGAATTAAGAGAATTAGAGGTAATATTGAAGCAATAGTATATACGGGGAGGGGTGGTGGTGGAAGGTATATGAATGGGAGAAATAGATTGGGAGTATGTAAGGAGGGGATAAGAGAGTTACAGAAATGCAGTAATTCCTTATTTAAAGAATGAACCTATAATATTCATTATGTACTCTCAACGCTTGAAAATGTGAACTGAGATTATAGTTGATGTAAAGTGATTTAGAGAGTTTAAACTACTACTCCGCTTGCAAACGGATCTAATTCATTTCAGGGAGTTAGGTTTTGAACTGTTAGACTGTGTAGTATAATCTGTCAATCAAACAATTACACAACTTGCACAGTTGTTTAAAGGGACAGAATTAGCTGTTCATTTACATCCTTAATAGTGTACAAATTTAGAAAAATCATAATAAATGCATGTTTTGCTGCATTCGGCATCTTAACCCACCTCCTCTGTCCCATGTCCCAGCTCTAAAATATGTCCTGACTGCTAGTTATTGATCTCCAATACATTATGTTAGCTCAGGCATATACAAAACTGTCAGTAACACACCTCCCAGAATTTCAACTGGACACAGAGGGAAACTTCAATTTTAGGGGTTTAAGTGGGGGAGTGGCCAAAGACAGGGCTTGTCTGAGTATGAGTGGGTGGGCGATAAGTGGTGATACTGATCTAAATGTGAGTGGGGGGGTTGGCAAGGGGCGAGGCTGTTCTGAGCGTGAGTGGTGGTGTTGCCAGGGGCAGGGCTGTTCTGAGAGTGAGTTGTGGTGTTGCCAGGGACGGGGCTAGTCTGAGTATGAGTGGGGGTGGCAAGTGGCGAGGCTGTTCTAAATGTGAGTAGGACACCGAGTGCTCCTATCACAGCTGAGTTCTAAATGTGAGTGGGGTACCGAGTGCTCCTATAACAGCTGGGATAATACTGATACTGATCAATGATCAGTATTGATTCAGACATGAGGAAGAGAGGAAAACTCTCAAAAGCTTGTCTTTTAAGTATTATGTTAGTCCAATGAAAAAGGTATCATATATACTGTGTGTGTGTGTGTGTGTGTATATATATTGTTAACATTACTATATTATAAAATTATACTTGCTATATTTGCTCTAACTCATATGCTACATTTGTCCAATTGTTTCTAGCTGTTTTATAGATCAAATAAAATCTATCCTATTAACAAAATTAAAGAAAATACAGATATGCTTTGTAGGGGGAACGTATCACTGTTCTAAAGCCAATTTAGAGATAAATTAGAACTAACTCTAACTCCTTCCTATCAAGGTGTTTGAAACTAGTGTTTGCAGACAGGACCTGGAGGAGTCTTTCAGAATTTCGATTTTTTTACATTTCACTCTATACTGAGTAACGAAAACACTCATGTTATTTTCTGTTGCCTACGTTCCTGTTTTTAATGGATCTCAAGAGATTGCGCAATTTTGAATTCAGATGTAGAGAATCTCCTTTTTTGCTTTTCTCAGTGGTTTTTGCTGTATCTGTACTAGATGCTGTATAAACACTTTGTGAAGAGGTCTTTCTCATTTCTAAGTAGACAAATCTTTGCATTAATGTAAGTTGACCTATAGGAACTCACAGAATGCAGTGGAACAAATGATCTCGATCTTGCCAGCTTCAAATCTAGAACTATAGCTTTTATTGACTAGCTTATCATTTTTGGAACTATGTACACATGACATATTTGGCACTCTAAGAGTCCAGGACACAAACACCGATAAGAAACAGTCTACATAGAGAGTTTAATTCTAGATATTTGCTTTGTGCACTAAACAATCAGTGTTTAATGTGATATAGTTCATTAATACTAAAAGATTATTGAGATGTGTTATCTCCATCTACTTAAAGTTCTCAAAGAGCTGTGTCGTGTTTTACAAAGTATACCAATGGTTCTTAACCCCTAAGGGGTTCCATGCTAATTTAGTGCGTCGTTACTGGTGGAATAGACACTTCATATCCACTGAGGCCCAGATAACTGCGCATAATAAACTCTTTAATGTAACTTAAAGGGACATTATAGTCACCAGAACAACTGCAGCTTATTGTATTTGCTCTGCTGAGTAGAATCATTCCCTTCAGGCTTTTTGTGGTAAACACTGTGTTTTCAGAGAAAAGGCATTGTTTACATTACAACCTAGGGACACCTCCAGTGGCCACTCCTCAGATAACTATTAGATGTGCTTCCTGGGGCAGTGCTGCACAGTGTGACTGACATTGAGTGTCTTTGTTAAGACACCCCTTGTGCCTGTGAGGGAAACCGCCGTTTAGTTAAGCTTCCCGCTTCGCAATCTCACTATCTCCGTTCGCATAGACTGCTGTATACAAACCACCATCAGGGGAAGTGGTAATCTCCCAAACGGGATCCGTAAGAGGCTCCAAACTCCCGAAAAGAAATCCACGAATCGCCGCTAGCCGCCGAACAAGTATATCCACCAAGCGGCTTTCGGCTCCAGCAATCAGTCTCTAGTCGTCGGTAATAAATCCCCCCAATAATGAGACTACGCTCCGCATTGAAGGTCAAACAGGATCTGGCTTTATTGTGGGCTACCCGTCCGTATTTATGCAGGTCTCCCACTTGGTGGACACTCCCCTAGGGGACCAAATGGGAGACTGTAATGACAGATGGACATATGGACATTTTAGACATAGAGGCACAAACGTTTCCCACAATGCAATATGGTTTCCTCCCCTCTGCCCTGGAGATAATTGAGAAGTAATTCAATTATCTCCATGACAAAGACAAATCGCCATCTTAAGTAAAATGCCAGAAAACACACAAAAATATATAATTCCACAACTACCGAACATTTTGCATTCGTATCACATATCCCCAGATAGCCTGGATCTGAGTGCATATTATTAGCGAATAGCGCTCAGATCCCATACACATAGTTCAATCGCCATGGAGTCAAAGTTCTTACAGTCTTTCGGTATGCGATTGATTCCATGGGATGGCTATCTGGGTTAAGTCTCTGCATGTAATTCAAAACTCCCAAACGGCCGGTGTTCGCATGCTTTCGTCGACGGAGCAGGGTGACCCGTTGTTTCAGCGGTGTTCGGCAGAAAAAGTGTCCGTTCTTAGTTCCATGAAATCAATGCCAAACACCGCTGGTCTTTCGTGCAATCTAAAATGGCCGCTGCCTCGTGGTCGACATGCGAACGACGACCACCCTGTATTCGGTTTTAATTGAGAAGTGTCTGCGGTTAACCACAACGTTCTAATTGGGATCAAGAGGTTAACCAGCCACACACTTCTATTCTGGGTGGCCGTCCGTTCGGTAGATTTGTTCGGTAAAAAAGTCATTCGTATGCATGGGCTATAGAAACAAGCCATTTCCATGAAAGGAAGGCAAACTAGACGAATCCACCAAGAATAGGCATACAGATGGTTCTGTCACAGTCTTCATCCACTGCATTGGGACACTGAACTTTTCTCATTGACATGAACTGATTCAATGCATTTCTATGAGGAGATGCTGATAGGCCAGGGCAGCATTTGGCTCCACCCCCAGCCCACCTCCTTGGCTGGGATCATCAGAATTGACCATCTCAGCCAATCCAATGCGTTCTTATGGGAAAGCATTGTGATTGGCTGAGATAATCACATCTGATGATGTCAGCCAAGGAGGCAGACAGGAGCAGAGCCAGCACCAGCAGACTGAAAGAAAGGTAAGATTTTACTTTATATAGGTGGGCAAGGGAGTGCCAGAGGGGGCTATATTGTGTTTTTTACACTATAGGGTCAGGAATACATGTTTGTGTCCCTGACTCTGTAGTGTTCCTTTAATGTAACTTTGATACGGTGCACAGAAAACCTCGTCCACAGTTAGAATGCTTTAAATTACTTTAGTACTATATATATATATCTCAATGTCAGAACATTTTTATATACTTTAATTGTAGCTGCTTTAATTTGCATAATATCAAGTAGTAAATTAACATTGATTTTACATTCTCATTAATGCTATATGGTTTTCTTTAACATTAATTGTCTATCTATCTATCCATCTGTCTGTCCATCAATCAGTAAAAAAGTCATTCGTATGCATGGGCTATAGAAACAAGCCATTTCCATGAAAGGAAGGCAAACTAGACGATTGGATTATTTTTCACTTGCATTTGATTTGAACCTTTTTTTGTGTGCATTACTATAATGCTGTTTTGTATCGGTTATTTAGGTTTGTTTGTTTTGGTCTCCAATTTCTGAATAGCATTGTGGTTTTGGGATAACACAACACATTAGCAGAGGCTAAGGATTGGTGAACCTTCTTCCTGGTCTCGGAGAGGCTGTATGCTGCTGCAGTTTGCCTGTGCAGTTTAAAGAACTTTAAAAGATTGAATATTTAATATTTTGTTTTTATTTTACTTTTTTTGCATATTATTTTAGTGTGTTATCAGTTTATTGTATTAAATATAGGGATCACATTTGCCAGGAGTGTGTCTTGTCTGCAGCCTTTACAAGTTGTCCCCTTCTAACCCCACCCAGACTTTCTGTGGCTGTCCAATCACAGACTTTCCAATGCAGCTCAATGAGAAGTCTTTGCAAGGCAGGTGCTCTGGGTAATTGCTGCCTCTTGAGTTTATCTCCACTGAGCTAACCAAACCAGGAAGTAAAAGAAGCGATTTTTTGATTGACAGCTAGGAGGGTGTGTAACAAAGAGTCAATTACTATTGAAATCTTTTTTTTTAAAAAGAGGACATACTCTTCATACATAATGCACCTCTGCGAGATAACGTGCTCTAGGTGTTTGGAGTGCCACTTTAAGGGTGAAATGACTTGAAAAAACATCAAGTCCTTCTGTCTGCACCTAGTATTTTACCACATCTTGTTATCTTTGCCATATGTGATGAACAGAGATTATTGATATTGGAGTAATGAAGGATGTGTAGTCTCCCTATTGGTCCCTCTAGACCTCTGTTATTGCAGCTTACTTGGTACCCATATAACTGCCTGGGAGAGACTTCCGTAAACAATCTCATATTTGCTCTCATTTCTTTCATTCTCTCCCAGGATCCTTCAGTCTTCTTCGTCTTCTTTTCAAATGAAAATATCGAGGGATTGAAGCCCGTCCTTGTAATTACAAGACCTTAAACATAAGACTTCACTGTCCTTTATGTCAATGAGCTTTATTTCCTGTTCTGTTTCATTAAGCTTCACAGTGAGTTTACTTCGGATGTTGGACCTGCACCTAAGGCTATTCACATTTATGTAATTCACAAAGTAATTCATTCCAAGTGACCCTATGTTAAAACAGTCTGCAAAAGGCCTGCATGTTTATTGATCATGTGTTCTGTTCTTAATTCTCAAGATCTTTCTGCATCTGTAAAAATTTTGACACTAATATAAGATTATGCTAGTGATTCTGCATATAAGAAAATATCAGAGACATTTTTCATAGTTTTCCTCAGGTTAGACTTATGCACATTCTGAGCATTCTATTACCTTATACACATCTGCCTTATATTCCAGCCTTATACACACTCTTCCATTACTACTGTGTTATCCTTATACCTATCCTGAGCATTCTTCAATCATTTTACTGTGTTAGCCTAATACACATCCCCAGCATTCTTCAATTCCTTTACCGTGGTGTACACACCTCAAGCATTCTTCAATTCCTTTACTGCATTAGCCTTATACACATTCCAAGAATTATTTGATTTCATTATTCTTTTAGTCTTATACACATCCTGAGCATTCTTCAATTCCTTTACTGCTTTAGCCTTATATACATCCTGAATATTCTTCAATTCCTATACTGTGTTAGCCTTATACACATCCTGAGCATTCTTCAATGCCATTACTGTGTTAGCCTTATACACATCCTGAGCATTCTTCAATTCTTTTACTGTGTTAGCTTTATACACATCCTGAGCATTCTTCAATTCCTTTACTGTGTTAGCCTTATATACTTGCCATTCTTCAATTCCTTTACTATGTTAGCCTTATACACATCCTGAGCATTCTTCATTTCCTTTACTGTGTTAGCCTTATACACATTCTGAGCATTCTTCAATTCATTTAATGTGTTAGCCTTATACACATCTTGAGCATTCTTCAATTCCTATAATGTGTTAGCCTTATACACATCCTGAGCATTCTTCAATTCCTTTAATGTGTTAGCCTTCTACACATCCTGAGCATTCTTCAATTCCTTTAATGTGTTAGCCTTATACACATCTTGAGCATTCTTCAATTCCTATAATGTGTTAGCCTTATACACATCCTGAGCATTCTTCAATTCCTTTAATGTGTTAGCCTTCTACACATCCTGAGCATTCTTCAATTCCTTTAATGTGTTAGCCTTATACACATCTTGAGCATTCTTCAATTCCTATAATGTGTTAGCCTTATACACATCCTGAGCATTCTTCAATTCCTTTAATGTGTTAAACTTCTACACATCCTGAGAATTCTTCCTTTATTGTGTTAGCCTTTCACACATCCAGAGCATTCTTCAATTCCTTTACTGTGTTATCCTTATACACATCCCAGGCATTCTTCAATTCCTTTAATGTGTTAGCTTTATACACATCCTGAGCATTTTTCCATTCCTTTACTGTGTTATCCTTATATACATCCCAGGCATTCTTCAATTCCTTTACTGTGTTAGCCTTATACACATCCCCATCATTCTTCAATGCTTTACTGTGTTAGCCTTATACACATACTGAGCATTCTTCAATTCCTTTACTGTGTTAGACTTATACACATCCCAAGCATTCTTCAATTCCTTTACTGTGTTAGACTTATACACATCCCAAGCATTCTTCAATTCTTTTACCGTGTTTTACACACCCCGAGCATTCTTCAATTCTTTTACTGCATTAGCCTTATACACATTCCAAGAATTCTTTGATTAAATTTTTCTGTTAGCCTTATATACATCCCGAGCATTCTTCAATCCCTTTATTGTGTTAGCCTTATACAAATCCCGAGCATTCTTCAATCCCTTTATTGTGTTAGCCTTATACACATCCTGAGCATTCTTCAATTCCTTTACCGTGATAGCCTTATACACATCCTGAGCATTCTTCAATCCCTTTATTGTGTTAGCCTTATACACATCCTGAGCATTCTTCAATTCCTTTACTGTGTTAGCCTTATACACATCCTGAGCATTCTTCAATTCCTTTACTGTGTTAGCCTTATACACATCATGAGCATTCTTCAATTCCTATAATGTGTTAGCCTTATACACATCCTGAGCATTCTTCAATTCCTTTACTGTGTTAGCCTTATACACATCATGAGCATTCTTCAATCCCTTTATTATGTTCCTCCTGAACATTCATCCATTCCATTACTTTATGAGTCTCCTAAACTCCCCAAAAATCTTCCATTCCTTTACTGTGTTAGCCTTTATAAACACCCCAATATTCTTCTATTCCTTTAAAGTCTTAGTCTGTACTTCCTTATTGAAGCTCCTTTTCAGCATGGCAATCATTCGACATTTAATAGAACCAGATCTTTGCCAGACCTTTCCATGTCTCTGTAACACTTCACTGCACACATATTAAAACGTATCTCTCCTCCAGCAAACTTGGCTCGTCCTTCACTTTTTAAAAGTTGGCAAGTGTGCAAAGTCAACTTTGGCGCCAATATACCATTGGCAGAAACCAATATCTGTACAAAGTCCAGTTATCATGGAAATGTGTTTTATTTTTTTATTTAACTTCAGAACAACCTTATAGGTAAATGCATTTTGTGGTCTTGGAATAACTTGGAGATAATGTTTTTTGAAGTGGCCATTAAATGAATATCTAGTGAACATGGATATGGTAGGTGGTGATCGATGCAGTCCCCACTTAAACTCACTAATGAGGTTCTCTACAATCTTGCTAATATATGTAAGTGCTCTCCTCATTAAAAGTCCATAATTAGATGACGTTTCCTGATTTTTAGCTCACATTGTGTATCCTTGTATCAAATTGAGAGAAATCGCTCCTGAACACATAAATCCAAAGTGCCATCCTAGCCTCGCTGGCAGAACCGCCATGTGTAGCAATATATAAATATTTATCAAACTATCATTCAAGCAAGAAACTTCTGGCATCCACTGGCAAAATTATAATTTTATCCAGCTTCTTTTGGGCTAGACAGAAGAATTGATGGATTAAAATAATAATAATAATAATAATAATAATAATATTGATAATAATAATAATTTTTAAAGTGCAAAATCATTTCCAAGCGCTCTGAATGTTTGATTCCTAATATGCTAGTAAATCATCTTTTTGAAGATATTGATTCTCCTTTCAAAGACGGTATGCAGTATTTAAAAAAAAAAAAAAAAAAATGATAGAAGATACAGGTGCTCTGCAAAGATGGAGCTATTGCTGAAGTTATCCCTGTTTCCCAGATGAGCAGAAGAACATTTTGTATTTGTAGTTTAAAACATTCCCTGCTCCACCGATTTCTATCAGCCCCCTTGTCTTTGACTATTCGTTGTCTAGGCAGGCAAAGGCTTTTTTTTTTTTTCCAATGAGTACTCCATTCACCTCCGCCGCTAATTCCATTCATGAAACGTTGTCTTCCGGTACAGATGTGCTGCTCTGCGATCAGTCATACATGTAAATCTGCCACCAGTGGGCACTTAGTTAATCTATCCTATGTTTTTACACTTCTCTAACCTGAACGTGAGTCGCTGTGCACCATTCGTCTATCCTCTATGTACCGCACATCAATTTTTCATCTTATTTATAAAAAAAATAGTTGAACCCAACAATTTCACACCATGCAGACTGTGACTTCTACTGCAAATTCTACTGACAATTATTTAACTCTTTGGAGTCCGCTGAACTCCTTTATAGCACTCAAATAAAGCGAATGGTAGTTTGGAACTAAAAGCATTCATCTTAATACTAGCGGGGAGTGATCTTTCTTTCAGTGCTGTATATAAATCTCACGTTATGGCAGATAAGATGATATAAAAATACTCAGTCTAGATTTATAATACCACTTGTCATTTTCCACTTCATTAGAATCTTGCTGTATTCACAGCAATTCTTATGGCTGAAACAGTATCTGCCACTAGTCTTTAATAAAGGGTGTGGCATCGGTCCCTTTCTGTCTCTAGGTAATGCTGAGTATAGTGCCTCGTAGCTGTACGCTCGCAGGCTCTCAGAACATGTGATTATTTTAAAAAATGAGAGGTGCTTTGGGTGATTGAATACAGCTTTGTTCTGTCCCTTTAACAGTTTTGTAAGAGGTATGCTAATAGCCTGAATGTGTCACTGTGCAATTGGCTGATCACTCTCTGCAGCTCTAAGGGTTAACCCATGCTATAATTTTTTAATATTGATTTAATTTGGTATCTAAATAGCCAACAACTCATAAAAATAATAATACCAATAAAATCCTATAAAAATGATGAATCACTATATATATGTGAAAAGCAATAATCATGATATCACTACAGGCTAATGTATTCCTCTCGAGCTCTTAGAGTTAATAGAGGTGTAATGATCCTGGATTAGAAAGGGAAGGGAGTGCCTTGCTGGCAGGGGGTTGCTGGTGGTAAGAGATGGGGGGAGGAAGCAATTTTCTATTGAGGCTTTGAGTAGCACTCAATGAGTCTAGCTCACAGCGCATACTCAGCAGCATCAGTCTAAACCCTAGCAACAGTATCCGTCTGCCTTGTGCTGGGATTTGGCTGGCTAGACCATGTGTCTTGGAAAATACCAAATTCTGCTCATTTCTACCTCATATCTACATGATCCTTAAACCAAGGCGAAAAATGCATTTCACACCCCTCTAGCTCTTCTAGGGTCAACCAAACCTAACCAAACCTATAGCCAAGCTAAGCAAAGTTAATGAAACCGCATGTTGGCATTGGCAGCAATAGGGTTCATTTATCCCCTATCCAATTAATTTATTACATTATAATACCGATACTTGCTCGGCTTCTACCCTGTCTCCATTTCTCCAACATTCTATATAACATACACACAAATATTGTGGAGCTGAAACAATTTGTCAGACAATGCATTATAAATCTGAATGGCAACCGCTGTATTCAGCCACAGGTAGACATGGAAAATGGCCAAATATATGATATTCTGTATAACATGCACAGACCTCCATTATTCGCACAGTGTCTAACCCCACCCTACTTTCTACATCTTCCATTCTACAAGTGATGCACGTCTCAGCCACACCTTTAACCTCTCAATCACCAGAAGACTCATTTCTTTAGGGTACCATCAAATGGGTGGGATTACTACCCCCCCCCCCCCCCGCTCTCCATCCATAACTGCATTCAGCTCAGTGAAACCATTCAGATACATTGTATCCTTCTTTTTAAATCCTATATAGAGCAGTGATGCTACATTTGGTACCCAGATGTTTTAGCAAGATTTTTGTACAAATGTATTTAATTGACAAATATCTGGGCTGCCAAGGATTGCCACCACTCTCATAGGGTGTGAACAAGTTATCGCCAGCATTTTCCAATGCAGCCCAAATCCGTCCCCATGGGTGTAATTAAAGTCAATGTGAAGTAAAGCCTTGTAGACAAAACCACTCTTGTTTCTTGCCTTCCATAAGATCAATGGATCAATATCCTGTATGATATGTATGTGATCAAACAATACGCATTCTTCAGGTGGATTTAAAGATACCATAGTCATTTTCAATGCACAAGATATATCTAGAATGTCCTAGAGCCTCATTTTAACACGGAGACCCCCATTTCAGAATTTACAGGTAAATCTACAGGGTTTTTTTTAATACATTGCACCAAGTTTAAAAAAAAAAATCTGAATAAATGTGAGCATGTGTTAAAAAAGGACGTTTTATTTCAGCTGATAAAAATGCATGTACCTACTTCATAAGCAAGAAAAAAAGAGAGAGAAAAAAAAATCAGGTTATCAGTTCCCCAAATTATAGCTAATAGCTTCTACACTTAAACCAAGCCATCTGCCAGAACCATTGATGTTTTATCTAAAAATAGAATAAATTACGATTAGCAATAAAATAAGTCAGTTTTCTCAGAATCTATAGCAATGGGCAGGAAGGGCTAATATGAACTGTTAGTGTACACCAGTCCAGGGCTTTACATCTTTCGTTGCTCCCAGTGGGTTCATCATTTCTCTGCAACATGTTGCTCTATCCTGTGTCTTAAAGGGTTAAAGAATTTGGCTCAGTAACTGGCCACTTTCTCCCAATGTCCCTTAAAGTGTTAAATGATCAGTTCGGTCGGTTAAAGGTTTGCCAATGCAGCCCATTCGGAGGATAATTGATACAATGTATCAGTAGGATTCTGTTCGAATGCTCTGGGTTTCTAGGGGCGTGGTCCTGTCTCCCTACCAGCTGCTGCCCAGCTGTGCGAATGCCGGTGCTTTTCGGATACAGTGAGCGAAAAAAAAAAAAATGAAAAGGCTTTTATTCTGATTTTAATTCTCTCCGGTTTAATTGCATTAATGTGAAAAGCCAATTGTTCTTCATATTAACACGAGTTTAATCCGCAGGATCCCTTTCTCGACAAGGGACACACAGGGGTGGAATAGATTAATTTTCTTTTTTTCTACATTAAAATGATATTTCGCACAGAAAATAAAAATCCCACATAGAGAGCCATTTAACCCCTTCCATGCAGTTAGATGAATCCCTTTATATTGTGCCAATAGAATCACAATGGCTCTTCCTCTATAAAATGAGACACATGTCATGACTTTAACACATCCTTCCCCAATAAGTCCATTATCCCCACTTACACAATGCATATAACACAAAGGGAATTGGCCCTTTACACATCTCATGTCATGGAAGCATCTGTCAGCTTCCACCATAGCTCCAGCCACAGACCCTGCCATGAAAATGGGAACATTACCTGCTTAGTTCTTCTCATACAGCACAGCATGGTTGGGTTTTGTCTTTTCGCTCTCCTCCTTTTTTCTCCTTCTTTTCTTCCTTCTCTCACTCTCTGTGTTTCCCCCCTCTCTTCGTCTTTCTGTCCTCTCTCCCTCTCGCTCTCTCATGCACACACCGTCACACACATGTACAGGGGTTAGCGAAAGCAGGAAGGTCTATAGCATCTGCCCACAAGCACACATGCACACCCAGTCTGTCTCTCTCTCCCTCTCTCTCTCTCTCTCTCTCTCTCTCCCAGGATCTTTCACAGACTTGTTCTCTACCTCTCTGTGATTATTCTGACTCTCCCCTTCCTCCAGCCACCGCCTCCTCCTCCCATCCCCTGTCACAGTCATGAATATTTAAACACCTACAATCTGTACCCAATTACCCAACCAGGCTGGCTCTATGAAATCAGCACAAGGGGCATTTTTACCTCAATTCTTTAGTTTCTTTACGTATTTATGTCATTTGCCCCCCCCAGCCTGGTCCTCATATTTAGCATATCCAGTGAGTAGAGCAGGGTGTAGCCTGCATGGGAGCAGCTAGGATTGTCTCAGCATCCATTGTTCAGGTGGAGAGTGCTGGCTGAAAATGAGATGTGCAAGGCTTGTATAATATATATATTGCACATTCCACTTACATTACAATGGAGACTTCATCCCTTTTTGAATTAAAGTAAATATATATAAATAATTCCCTGAGTTCTTTACATTGTAGGAATCTAAAACAATTGTGTAAAAAAAAATGCATTAATTCACTATGCTCTTTATGTTCTGTCCGATCTAACTATATATCTGTCTGTCTGTCTGTCTATCTCTGGTGACTCCAACATGGGCGAGCCCACCCAGACAGTCCCCTAGTGTCCCAGATGCAGAACACCAGGGAATGATTCTGGAATAACGGGCAGAACCCTGAAATTGATTAGGGCTTATCTGTCTGTCTGTTTATCTAAATCTGTCAGTATGTCTATCTGTCTGTCTGTCTATCTATCTGTCTATCTATCTATCAATCCATCTATCTATCTATCTATCTATCTATCTGTCTGTCTATCTATCTTTCTGTCTATCTGTCTATCTTTCTATCTAACTATCATTTATCTATCTATATGTATTTGTCTGTCTATCTATTTCTGTCTGTCTGTCTATCTATCGATCTGTCTGTCTGTCTATCATTTATCTATCTATATTTATTTGCCTATCTATTTGTGTCTGCCTGTCTGTCTATCTAATGTCTATCTATCTGTCTGTCTACATGACTGTCTGTCTATCTATCTATATGAGATATATATATATAAATTTGTGTCTATCTATCTGATATATATATATTTGTGTCTATCTATTTGTCTCCATATATCTCTCTGTCTGTCTACTTGTCTGTCTGTCTATCTCTGTCACTCAATATATAATGCATTCAGACATGGTGAGGAAGATGCCTTATTTTAAAACCAAACAGTAGAATGTGTAGAGTGAAGCTGTTCTAACTCACTATAACTGTGGTCTGACTGTTGGGACATAGTGAACTCACCAGATTTATAGTCTCAATACTTTACAGAGAATAGTATCATAACAAAAACCTTAAAAACAGCAATTCGGTTTGGTAAAACGCCTGATGGGAAAGGTCAGGACAGAAAGGCCAGACTTGCTCAAGCTGTTGGCAAACAACCAATGTGTAAAGGAACCATATGGATCCCATCTCAAAGAGGTTGTTATGGTGCTTATAGTCCCCAGACACCTTCTTACCTTTTATTGTTAAATCGTTCTCAAATGGTTTAACACTAAATAAGTGTCTTCAGACGCCATTCTCTCCCTCTCGTCTTCTTCTCCGGTTAATGTGACAGTCACTGCTATCTCCTCACTTCTCGCACTAACACTTCTCCACTAGCCCAATCTGAAGACGAGATGGAGAGTCAAGCTCCTGAGACTCATGCTTAGTTCCAAACCATTCAGGAAATGTTTAATACGTAAATGGAAGACAGTGCCCTAGGATTCCAGGCACCACAGCAACTTTGATATTGTGATAAAGTGGTTTTGGTGTCCAGAGTGTTCTTTGTAACAGAGGTGTGCAAAAAGAAATCTGTGAATGTGCAAGATGTCCGACTAAGAGGGTAATAAGTGACAATCGCAGAAAGCCGCTTCAGATAGCAATACTGACGACAAGACACGTAATCACCCAAACTGGATGGTTGAATATTGAAGAGTTGGATGAACCTTGATTTTGGCAAAAACATGCAGTTGGCATTGTCAAAAACAAAGCTTAATGTACACTTTATAAATCTGGCGCTCATATGTCAGTACGAGAGGCTGCTGATTGTGGAATAGTGTGTTGGAAAGTTAGACTCTTCAATACCAGCTCAGCAAAAAAAACACCTCCTTTTATATAGCCCGTACAGGAGGCCATGAGCTTCCATTATAGCCAAAGCCAGCGTGAAAAATCACTTTAAAATAAACCAGTTTTATGATAAGATGATATGTACAAATGCATTGCAGCCAACATTTCAACCTATTACCTTGATGTTTTGGGAACAGCCTGCTAATGGAACTGAATCATTGACTGTATGTGTATGTACATGAATGTATGTGAATTCTGAGTGTATAGTTCAATGTTTTCATTATTGTATTGGCATTGTCTGCTGTTGTCCTCTTTTATTGTATCGTCCACTTTTTCTCGCACGGGTCTCGCGCAGACCAGACCTATCTGAGGAGAACGAGAGGACATGAAATCAGAATTGTAACCAGTGGAATCTCCTTCTTAAAACAGCCCGATGTACCGTCCATTAGGGGAAATGCAAGCAGGATCACAAGGCAGCAGGACAGTCGGTCAGCTTACTCTGACCCAGCTGGCCAACAACTTCTCGATTAGCACCAGGTCAGGTAAAAGGAACATTGAGAGAACTGGAATATATGGGAAGGATACAAATCAGTGCATAAAACTCCCATATGTATGAACAATAAAGTTACTGACAACAGGTTACACGGGTTAAACATAATGGATATTATTAAGAAAGGTGAAGAATAGTTGAAGGAACACTATAGTCCCCTAAATTACTTTAGCTAAATAAAGCAGTTTTAGTGTATAGATCATTCCCCTTCAATTTCACTGCTCAATTCACTGTCATTTAGGAGTTAAAGCACTTTGTTTCTGTTTATGCAGCCCTAGCCACACCTCCCCTGGCTATGATTGACAGAGCCTGCATGAAAAAAACCCCAACTGTTTTCACTTTCAAACAGATGTAATTTACCTTAAATAATTGTATCTCAATCTCTAAATTGAACTTTAATCACATACAGGAGGCTCTTGCAGGGTCTAGCAAGCTATTAACATAGCAGGGGATAAGAAAATCTTAATTAAACAGAACTTGCAATAAAGAAAGCCTAAATAGGGCTCTCTTTACAGGAAGTGTTTATGGAAGGCTGTGCAAGTCACATGCAGGGAGGTGTGGCTAGGGTTCATAAACAAAGGGATTTAACTCCTAAATGGCAGAGGATTGAGCAGTGAGGCTGCAGGGGCACGTTCTATACACCAAAACTGCTTCATTAAGCTAAAGTTGTTCAGGTGACTACAGTGTCCCTTTAAAGGATTTTGCTACCCCTAACACTGCATTTTATTTCCTGACCCCCTTCAGCAAGAACTTCCAACTGTGGATGTCTTTAATCTCCATTAAAACAACTAGTGGCCAATCTGTTGTCCATGTCTCATTGGCCCATCTGTGGAGTTTTGGGGAAGTTTTTACAGTGGAGGTCAGGCTGTTTAAGTATGTTGGGGCAATAAGAGATGTATCCCCTTAGGAGCCGATCTGATCCAGGAACCCAGGAGTATAAAGGTGTTTAATGGGACTGCATTCTAACTCTTGGCTAATGTCTCCTTGATTATTTGCTGTTCAAGTGTAAAATAATAGGTATTTATTTTATTTCAAGCTTAATAAAGCTGTGAGAATCTGTCAGATTTGAAAACTAAAAAGTTTAAAATATACTGAGGTATTGTGAAATTTTTTAAAAAATTTGTTTTGAGTGTGTGAAATTAAACATGCGGGTCTACTTATATTACACAAAAAGGTCAGAGGAAATGTAAATTCACCATAATTAGAGAATCGGGGGGTATTTCAAAGACATTGTTAACTCATCTTTTACAGGAATTGTGAGGTGACCTGACTCCCCTATACTAGGCCTCAATTAAAACAGCTTCATTTCAGTCCGGTCACTGCTCTCTAGAACACAATAAGTTTAGTTTTCAGCCTCTTCCATGTTCTCAAAAATATAACTTTTAAAAATACCAGGGTTTCAAATCTAGAGAAAAGAAATTACATGACTAGGGGGCAGGAAAAACCTGACCCCAGAGTCAAGAGTGGACTACATGGGTAATATGGGCTTAACCCAGAAAAGACAAAATTGAAAAAAGAATAACAAATCTTTCTTTGAAAAAAGGGTTTCAAATGTAACTATGATCCATAGCTGTATTTACAAAACTAGGTTCTATCTAGATAAATACTTCCCATGAGAATACTATTAGATACACTATACACAGAGTGTCTGATAAAGCCCTCTCTATATACAGACTGTTATTGGATGCAGCCCTCTCTATACACAGACTGTTATTGGATACAGCCCTCTCTATATACAGACTGTTATTGGATGCAGCCATCTCTATATACAGACTGTTATTGGACACAGCCCTCTCTATACACAGACTGTTATTGGATACAGCCCTCTCTATATACAGACTGTTATTGGACACAGCCCTCTCTATATACAGACTGTTATTGGATACAGCCATCTCTATATACAGACTGTTATTGGACACAGCCCTCTCTATATACAGACTGTTATTGGATGCAGCCATCTCTATATACAGACTGTTATTGGACACAGCCCTCTCTATATACAGACTGTTATTGGATACAGCCCTCTCTATATACAGACTGTTATTGGATACAGCCCTCTCTATATACAGACTGTTATTGGATACAGCCCTCTCTATATACAGACTGTTATTGGACACAGCCCTCTCTATATACAGACTGTTATTGGATACAGCCCTCTCTATATACAGACAGTTATTGGATACAGCCATCTCTATATACAGACTGTTATTGGATACAGCCCTCTCAATATACAGACGGTTATTGGCTACAGCTCTCTCTATATACAGACTGTTATTGGACACAGCCCTCTCTATATACAGACTGTTATTGGATACGACCCTCTCTATATACAGACTGTTATTGGATACGACCCTCTCTATATACAGACTGTTATTGGACACAGCCCTCTCTATATACAGACTGTTATTGGATACAGCCCTCTCTATATACAGACTGTTATTGGACACAGCCCTCTCTATATACAGACTGTTATTGGACACATCCCTCTCTATATACGGACTGCTATTGGACACATCCCTCTCTATATACGGACTGCTATTGGACACATCCCTCTCTATATACGGACTGTTATTGGATACAGCCGTAGTATGTGTGTGTGTGTGTGTATGTGTGTATAGTAGCTGTATTATGTGTGTGTGTGTTGGGGCTGTATATGTGTGTGTAGGAGCTGTAGTATGTGTGTGTGAGAGTGTGTGTGTAGGAGGTGTAGTGTGTGTGTGTGTGCGCGTGTCAGTGTGTATAGGGGCTGTAGTATGTGTGTGCGTGCGTGTGTGTATGTATAGGAGTTGTAGTGTTTGTGTGTGTGTGTGTATAGGAGCTTTAGCATGTGCGTGTATAGGGGCTGTAGTATGTGTGTGTGTTTGTGTATGAAAGTGTGCGTGTGTGTTTCTGTGTGTGTGTGGGAGCTGTAGTGTTTGTGTATGTGTATAGGAGCTTTAGTGTGTGTGTATAGGAGCTGTAGTATGTGTGTTTATAGGAGCTTTAGCATGTGTGTGTATAGGGGCTGTAGTATGTGTATTTGTGTGTGTGTGCATGTGTGTATAGGAGCTGTAGTATGTGGGTGTGTGTGTGTGTGTGTAGGAGCTATATTGTGTGTAGGGGCTATAGTATGTGTGTGTGTGTGTGTGTAGGAGCTGTAGTGTGTGTAGGGGCTGTAGTAAGTGTGTGTGTGTGTGTGTGTCTAGGGGCTGTAGTGTGTGTGTATAGCCATTTTAGTGTGTGTATGTGAATAGGGGCTGTATTGTGTGTATGGTGGGGATAGGGAACGTATAGAAATTACATAATTGTTTCTTAAAATTCAGATATTCATTCCCACACTCCCTCTTGTTACCTATGGCCAAGAGAGGTGGGAAATACTGTTGGTCCAGTGTTCAGATTTCAGTCTTCACCAGTTGCACCATGTTTCTCCCTTGAGTCGCGGTATTGCTAAATAAGAGTGTTACCATGGTAACTCCCGGCAACGCTCTCACTGTCCGGAGTTGGAGGTGGTACTTGGATTACACCCAAATAATTGCTTTTTGCTCCCTCTTCCCATGCGTGAAGCTAGCCGTAATCTTTGATCTCCTCACTGGCGCAGGAAGGGACTTATTTAGTTTTTTGGGGCGGCACTCGCTGAGCATGGACCTGGGGAAACCATTTCATCTTCCAAGCCGGTCATGATCCATGGCTATTGGGGCCCACTAGGCATTTGCCCAAGTTGTCCAATGGCCAGTCCAGGCCTACACACATCACTCAGCAACTACACACACACCACAGAACACTCTGCCACTCTCATTCACAGAACAGCAGGGACGGGACGGGACAGGGGGTTACAATCTGATATCATGCCAACTGTTTGTGGATCTTAATCTGAATTTAACCGCTAGTTAATTTAGCCCTCTTCCAGAAAACTTTGATTGCCAGTTTCTTACTATAAATTATTTTTTTAACAACGTGAAAGGTGACATGACTATTGTAGTAATGATGTTTATGTCCATTTAAAAAACTTTAGTGCTTCAGCTCTGTTTGATTATCCTTCTTAACCCTTTCACTACCAAGCACCTTCCAACAGTACCTGGTTCTTATAGATTGCTTAACAAAAATATAAACTGGAATCTATACTGAAAAATATATGTTCAAATACATTAGAAATGGAAGAGTCTGAATAATCTGAACAGAATAAATTCATATCAGATTAAAGGCATTCCTCGGCCCACTTTACCCAGATTTCCAGAGATATGTCTAGTCCTTCCGACTCTAACGGTTCTATCTAGTCTCCCTCCCTGAAAAAATAAAAATAAACATGTTAATTAACTAGTAATTCTATGCAATGACTATAACTACTTTGGTCACCCCAATGTAGAGATTTAAAGTGATACATTGTAATGTGAGCAGACTGCATAGTGTTAAAGAGAAGGTGTGGGAGTAATTTAGATAAGTCATACAAGGACATCTCTCATATCTGGCACAACACAAACCCAATATTTAATATGGAAGATCTGGACAGCTTTGTAACATTGAAAGTGTAGCCGTTTTCCATTAATGGCCAACTATGCAGTGAGAAGTGCGGGATGGAGTCCCCTTGAGGAAGATTTGCACCCGAAACATTGGCATACATCCACATTGTCCATATTACGTATTGTCTGCAGATTGTACACAATGATGTGAATTACAATCAGTTTTTACTAATTCTTCTAACACACATATTGGGATTTATCCTCTAAACTGTGAATTGTGGCAAAATGCAAAAAAAAAAAAAAATTCAATATTTACACCAGAACTGCCGAGTTCAAAAAAACTGCTGATGGGGAGAATTTGACCAATTCTTGTTTTTTGTGCTATATTTTATGTGTAGTAGTTTGATTGTCAACTCGTTAAAATAATAGATATAAATTGTTTTAATATTTCGTGATCTAGATAATTTATGTAGATTTCTATTTTTATCAATCTTTGGCATCTACAGAGCAGGCAGTTTAATATATTTAGCTTTTTCCAGCCGGTCGCTGTTATCTGTCGACTCTCTAACCCGTTTTTTTTTTAGTTTTTCTTTGACATTCTGAATTCATTTAGTAACCTGGATCGCGGCCACATCCTGGTTATTGGTGTCCAGGTCACAGCGCAGACACTTCACAATAAAGTTCTTAGATTCTATTTCAGGGAGAAATCAATGGGCTATTCTCTGCCATCATTTAACAGGACTTTTTTGTCTTGTATGTTTTTTGTACCGAATTGTTTTCCCATCTGCAAGGAAAAAAGGTCAGAAAACTAGTGGATCACAAAAATGAAATGTGTTTTTTTATTTTTTTGCATGTTTTTGTATTAAAAATTGGTGTTAGAGACATCACTTGTTTTGCAATTTCTCATTTCTTTTTAACGCTGGGTAAATCTCTTCTTGAATGATTTTATGTGCTTTTCCCAAGCACCATCCCTTACCTTGTGACAGTTTCAGAGCCTGCACTACAGCTATAATGTGTTAAATCGGTTGCTTAAATGGTATTCGAAGCGTAGTGCATAGACCATGGCATAGGTATAGATATCAGAGATGTGGTGTTTAAGATTTTAATCATTGGGACCAAGCAAGTTCATGGTTCTCGGGCCCCTGTCTAACCTATGGATCCCACGCGGCAGCCTAAGGTCACCTTTTGGTAAATACTGCTCTGCACTTATCTGGGATTGCCATATTTAAGGAGACCAAATTAGGGCTCAGTTTAGTAACATTTTGTGTTATCCTTAAATGTGTTATCCCTATGTAAGGGGAGCAGATAATGGAGTCATCTGGTAAAAAGCTGAAATATCAAAATTAAGAAAAATGCTTTTCCTAAGTTTGAACTTTCATAGTTTAGCAGATAACCCCCTAAACTAATATTTTGTAACTATCACTGCCACCTTCCATTTTTCCCCATGGGGAATAATGGAAAACAAATTTAATAAATTAACAAAATTTATGGTTACATTTTATTTCATCCAAATTAATAATTCTCTAATTTCAGACTATTTCAAATATGAAATCAATTTTTTCGTGCACATCTCAATGCCAAACTCTAAAGCACATCAACTTGACAAGGTGCTTTAGGGGTATTTCTAGCACTATAGCTCCCTTGCACCTTTCCCCCCTCCCCCAGGCACACAGTGCAAGGGTTAATAAATCCTTACTGTACTTACCTGATTCCAGCACCGATGTCCCTGGGCGCTGGGTCAGCGCTCCACCACCTCCAACACACCCAACATGGGTACCAATGTGCATGCACGGTAAACGGGGGATGTTCATTATTTATACTGCTGGTGTGTTTCTTTAGCTTATAAAAATAGAAAACATTAAATTGTGCAAATGATTATTGCCTAAAGTATACTAAAACCGTGCTAAAATATACCTATACCTATACCTATACCTTATATTATCCACATTAACCCAAAATAGTATTGGTGCTATGTTTTCACACCGTGATAAAATTAAGTATTGCGTGAACTAGTGTAAGTAGTGACACACAGCAAAATGGTGCTATACACTTTATAGGAAAGCTGACATTATCTGCTATTCATTAACCGGCTCCTTTACTGGTGAAAATATCCTCATTTTTTACGTAAATCCTATAGTTCTACCATACCATTTTATCCCACAAATAAGGGAATATTGGGAAGTGGTTAATCACCAAGCTGCTTTTGGCTATTCCTGGGGTTATTCCACAATATTTTATACCCTCCCTGTTGTGCATCAGGCAGGATAAGAGAGGTACGTGTGGCTGATAATGTACGTTTAGGATATTTAATATACTCCTGCTGTGTACTATGTGTCGGATGCTAAGGGGTTAATCCAGTCAGCACTGTGGTTGCAAACCGCAACTGCACATTGAGGTGTTTTCAGCCAATTAGGAGAACTGTAAGACTCACGCCAAGTAATTCTTGGATGAGATTGGGGCTCGAAGAAAGCCTACCTTCTGGCAACTTCCGCAGACATTGGGGACAAACCAGCTGATCTCAGGGATGTTTCCAGAATTCATCTGATTTATAACCCAGATCACTTCCACCATGGATGATTTAGAGCAGCCAGGATGTGTGTAAAGTTCCCAGCTTGTAACGTTATTAACAATCCTCCTGCACTGTGTCACATTGAGCCTGTTACAGGACAGGATTCCGTTGACTATCCAAATGAAAGTTGATATCTGTACGTAAGGTAAATAACAGAACCATCTGGATACAAACTGTACTCTTCCAATGGCTGTCAGAGGAGCACGTCATGCATTTTCCTGACTATGAGACGACCCCACAGAGACTGCTGCAGTTAACCCATTCATCTCTAGCTCTGGAAAATAAAGAATCTGTGCATTTTCTCTCTATATTATGGTAGTCTGATACCCAATGCTTACCTAGACATGTGCCACTTGTGGCAGAGCTCCCTGTATCCCACCTGGGTCCCTCACCAAGGACCGCTTCCTAGCTGGAACAGGGGAAAAACCTCAGCGCTTCTGCCCCAGTCACCCTGGCTTGACTGGGGTCCTCCTGGAGCAGGTTAAGGGACTAGCTCTATTCCCTCCCAGGGATGTGATGACACACAGCCCTGGGAGCTATAGTCCTTGCAAGGACTTTCCCCGCTGAATCCTCCATGAGTTGGAACAAGGTGCTGAGCAGTGATTATAGCCCTTCCCCTCCAAGTAACTAGACGACAAATAGGTCTGGAAGTACAGCTGAACTGTTTAATGGGACATGGTACAGCCAATTTATCCACAGATCCCCAGCAGGGAGTCTCCATACGATTACACAAAACTTTCACCAATGGGAATACAGAACAGGACACAGAGAAAGAACTACAAAGCAACAAATTGATTCCTTACACCAGTTACCACCTCCCCCTGTGCCAATACACCCTGTCAACAAACGGTTATCTTGGTCGGACCCCCTGTCCCTTCAGAGCAATATCTGGTTACATCAGCACAGCCCTTTGCTGTAGTAGATAGACTGGCTGGCTCCCACAGCAGGTGGTCACTTACAGGGCAGCATTTAACTTGATTAACACACAGAATACATTTTACACCTAACTATACTTTATAATTTATAGAGCTGCTGCCCTCCCCACCAGGGGTCAAGTCCTGGGGAAAAAAGTGTGGGAACTCACCTACCCTCCCAAAAAAAATAAAAATTAAAAAATTACACTCCTATGCATATAGTGCAGTGCGTGTATAATGAATGTAGTGTGTTTGTAGTGAATGCAGTGTGAATAATAATTGTAGTGTATTTGTAGTGAGTGCAGAGTGTGTATAATGAATGCAGTGTTTTTTTAGTGAGTGCAGTGTGTATAATGAATGTAGTGTATTTGTAGTGAGTGCAGTGTGTATAACAAATGTAGTGTATTTGTAGTGAGTGCAGTGTGTATAATAAATGTAGTGTATTTGTAGTGAGTGCAGTGTGTATAATAAATGTAGTGTGTATAGTGAATGCAGTGTGTATAGTGAATGTAGTGTTTTGTAGTGAGTGCAGAGTGTGTATAATGAATGCAGAGTGTGTATAATGAATTTAGTGTGTTTGTAGTAAGTGCAGAGTGTGTACAATGAATGCAGTGTATGTAGTGTGTTTGTAGTGAATGTAGAGTGTGTATAGTGAATGTAGTGTGTAGTTAGTGCAGAATGTGCATAATGAATGCAGAGTGTGTATAGTGAATGCAGAGGGTGTATAGTGAATGTAGTGTGTTTTGTAGTGAGTGAAGAGTGTGTATTATGAATGCAGAGTGTGTATAATGAATTTAGTGTGTTTGTAGTGAGTGAAGAGTGTGTATTATGAATGCAGTGTGTGCGTGT